TAGGATAAAATAATACGTATAATAATGTGTTACATTATGCTACCTATAACAGAGTTGTCAAAGTAAGAATATAACCCCTTTAATGAAAAAGGGACAGGAGAAACAGGAAGCAAAGTGTTCGTGAAGGTGTAAGCGTATCCTGCCCCAATGGGGAATTGCATCGGACATAATTTGTGTCATAGATGCGTCACATTTGGAACGGAGTCCATTACATAAATAACAGAAAATCACAAGGTACTAGTATAACAACTACCTATTGTAATCTATGCATCAGACATATCAAAGTTTGCATTCCCTATGCGGTGTGTATAGATTTCATCACTAAGAAAACACTTGTTAAAATCGAAAGACTTAAAATATAGAAGATATTAGTTACCTTTGCAAATATAAACTCGTGATATATAAATACTACAACTTGTGTATCAACTTATACCACCCCGTCTACTTTGAAAACAGAAAACAGCCGTATGGACTTCCGACTGTATGAACCAGGAAGTCCCTTACATCCTTACGCAGTAAATATTATCTCAATTACGTGCATGTTGTGAGAGTATCCACGAGACAAACACAACTCCAACCAAATACTGTCCTTATGAGTCATGGCATGACAGAGCGTTTAATGCGGACGTGCATATGTTCATGTACAGCTCAGCTCGTAATATCACCCTTCGGTTAAGACCAGTTGCAAACGACACCGACAATTATAGCTGTAGAATTGCTGATTAAAAATGTAATCATTTACACATATATGCATGAACTTGAGCTGTTCATGTTTAAAACTGCCCTTTGCCATGAACATTAAGTAGTATTTTATCTTTAACAACATTGCCTAACTTGTAATACCGAAACTAAGAAGTGGTTATTGATTAATATGACATGGAAGAGCTCTTGGCAAATCTGTTCAGAACAGCCATTGGAAATATTCTTGGATACATCATAAATCAAAAGTGTTTTACATTTTATGTTTTGAGAAATGATTACTTTTGCCCATTATGGGTTAATAGAGGTTATCACGCGAGTGTGTTTGGGGATGGTAAATATCCTGCATTAGGAATAAACATTGTATTTAGCGAGCCTTGGCGATTTATTACGTCACAGGGTAAGTGATGTGTCAGTCGGACAGTGACAGAAGCCAATATGGTTCCAACTAAAATCTGTTTCTTATACAGTGGCGAAGCAACATATACGCAAAACAACAATTGTTTTTAATTGCCTTTCGCGGCAATCCATCGGTCTGTCCGCTAGAGTAACTGCCCTTTGTCAAAGGGAAGCTACTCCAAACCTAGTCTACGAGACGTCACGGCCACAGTCAGACGTTATTGACAGTCGGTCTGTCCTGTCATAACGTTAAGCAGTGTAGTCAGATGTACACACAGCGACAAAACGAAACAAGGTAACAATTCAAACATATTTCGGCCAAATCCAACTATTTTAATTTGTGGAGAAGGTTTCAAGCCGCAGAGGTCTACAAGCACAGATATGGCTACTGATCCCGCTTGGCTAGGCCTCGTGTCCTCGCAAAATTGTTTCTCCAAAGTTGCAAAAACTTATGAAATGCCTTCGCTACGTCACAGTTAGACACTGATTTTCAGTATATTAGACTGTTCTTTTGATAATGATAGCAATTATCTCTGTAGTTTATCCAGATTCCCGATGGTTATTCTGACTCGATCGCCGAATGACAAGGGCGACGCCATGTTTGTTTATAAACAGTGAAAGTAGTCCCTACTTGACCCTTGATATTTGCATCTCTATCCGCATAAGACCCCAACGGATATCGTTTTTATCCGTTGGCTTTATCCTGCCGAGAAACCTACCCATTATATGATAAATCTTGTTATGTATAACAAAATAAATAATTTTACTTCTATGGAAATAGTCATGGTACATTTTGGAACTCAATTCAAGGGCTGCGAATTCAGGAAGTTGACTTTTCAGGAAGACGACAAATACAAGAATGTTGCCCCTCCCATACAGGAAGGGCATTCTTTAGTTGTCAGGGTACTGAAAGTACAGTCAAATTCAGGTCAGGGTGACCAGGAAGCATGACACAATAGGTTATAAAGTACATATATTTTATGTCCCCGTGACAAAGCATAATTCATATTAACAATGTCTACATGTTCGTAATTTAATTAAGTCTATATATATATATATATATACTTAATTAAATTAAATTAATTAGATTGAAGCCGATATATATATATATATATATATATATATATATATATATATCAGTCAAAATACAATCGTCACACCTTGCTGCAGTCCAATGTTTTTTGTTTGTTTTATCCTTAAACTCAAGTAATGTAAACATGTTGTTTTCCTCCGATTTCTTTTTCAAAGCATACTTACAGTAAACTAAGGTTATAACGAACTCAAAGGGACCACCAATTTTAGTTCGTTATAACCGTAGTTCGTTATAAGCATACATGTATATATATATATATATATATATATATATATATATATATATATATATATATATATATATATATACAGCATGTATACAGCAAATGGTCGGGACTAAAAAATAAGTTCGTTATATCCGTCAGTTCGTTATAAGCGTGTTCGTTATAACCGTAGTTTACTGTATGTAAAGAATGATATTGCCTCTCCTGGGCATGCCTTGTTTATCACTACACACGGGATGTTGATTGAAGCGGTTTTTAAGAAAAGCTTAGTCATCAAAACGTTGATAGGATATTTTCGATATTTTTACTTGGACATATGTGAGAGATACACACCGTCAGTTCCAAAAGAACAATTCATGACATCATTTAATACGCATATTCTAATGTTAAAAGAGAGTTGATGCTCTGTACACATACATGGGCATACATTTCTGTAATTTGTCTATCCGTCACCCTTCCCCGAACGATAAAAATTAACTTGGAATTAACTTAAAATGATATCAGTTATGCATAAAGTGAAGGGGAAAATACAGTAAACAGGTTTTATGAATCTTATTGCAAACACAATATAAACACACACGCACACGCACACGCACACGCACACGCACACGTACACACACACACACACACACACATGGATACACACATGTGATTATTATTTAGTGTTGTTTTGCGACACATTCAATATTGAAGCTATATCATGACGGCCTGTTTATAATCGAGCCTGGATCAAATGTCGCTGGGCCATTCAGCCACATCACCGAGTTTGACCACCAGATCCCTCCTTGTTGTGTTATTTGTCATGGACTTTCTATTCAGGAAAGAATACAGATGTACAGTAAATCCGGTAAATCCTTCGAGATATGGAGACTGTAGTTAATCCTCATGTGTTCTAACACGTCAGTCGTTTTTTAAAAAGTAACAGCATCCTCGAATACGGGACATTTGAGACAAGTCTTTTTTTCTAAGAATATAAAGCTTGAGATACATGCAATTGTATTGGCAGTCTCTGACGAATGCATCATTGCAAAACAAGTAAACAGACCATTTCCAAATTCGATAAATTTCATAAAGTCTATAAATGGAGGTACGTCCAATGTGGTATTGTGGTATACGAGAAATAATTGTGTTAATTCTAAAATATGAATACAGTATTCTTACATGCAGGCCGCTGTGTCCTAAAACTATTCTATTATGCTTTCTACGTATTAGGTTTTCGTTCGTATTTTAAAGCATTCCTAATTCAACTTTTATTCATTTAGGATCCATTGTAGGCCCGCCTTATGTGAACTCAGTATCATGTTGTGCATAATTATGAAGATTCTGGACGTAGGTATCGAAGTATTGAACGCCCTAGAATATTGACACTCTGGTGATACCTCCTGAAATCGAACACTTTTATCACGATATATGCTTAAGACGATGTAACGTCATGAAACCTAAAGCTGAAGTAAGTGGGCCGATGGTCTGATATCAAGATGACGAGGTTTCACCGAAACTGAATATGTGACGGCCAACACTCATGTGTGACCTTTTTAATTGTGAATCTCTGGCGATGTGAATCGATGCTCAAATTCCAACTTTGAAGAGTTTGTCCGACACTTTGAAAGAAGCCGATATATAGCTGCGATATAACGGAATTATACTAAGAAATTCTAACCTGCCTTCATAGACTACACGCGTTACAAGGCGCACATTCTCACACTGCATTGTACACCGCTTGAACAGTATACGATAATACCGATTGGACATGTGAGCGAGCCAGATTTGCAGCATATTGTTGCATATCGTATGTGGGTCAAGGTCAGTGAGGTGTACTCAGCTCAGTCAAGGCAAGACAACAACACCCTCAAAATATGAACAATTACTATTTGCATAGAGAGAGATAAATGCATTTTAACCCTGATACGGTCCAGATATCTGCTGCAAAACTATTACAGCCTCCGAATATTTTGATCAAATAAAAATGTATACTGCCTACCTGTGCAGACTCTATGTAATCCGTCAACATACTCTGCACACACTACGTAATGGTCACATAATGACGAGATTTTCAATTTGACATAAATTAATGCAATTCAAATAAAGTTCCCCGCTGCCTTAACACATAAATGAATATAACCAATGCTTATTTTTAAAATGTTGATACATTGTAGAAATAAGTCAAATGTGTTGTTTGTTGTCAGGTTTGAAAATTGCAGACAATTTCCGGTCCGTAGTTTCGCTTTATTATTCAACAAGGCTACCTTAGATATTCACAAAAAAATGCATCGATTTGTGATAATATAAAGCGTCAACGCCAGAGAACATCCAATCTCGATCATCAGACTTCACCATGCACAAAAGCCAGAATAGTGGTTAAAATTATAAGTCACGCCCTATGTGACACACTGCCATGGCAACGTGACCTTAATAAGGGAAGTAACTCAATATCTCCTTAACAACTACTTTCAAGCTAAAATATTATACAGAATCATATTTATGTTTCTGTATTTGAAAATAAAATTACTTAACCTTAATTTTTCGCAGTATGATTTAATTGTCGTATGCGTGTATTGCGCTTGAGAAGAAAAATTGCATATGATATATGTTATGATATATTTATTAAATCTATTTCTACATTTCGTTGCTTGGTTGAGAAATAACTGCAGCATGGCATTGTGTTGCGTTGTTTTCACAATGACGGTCATCCTCGGGCTGGGTGAGAGGGTTCCCTTCGCCAGTCAGATGATCTGAGGAGCAGACAAAGGATTAAGTATCAATTTAATGCCTATTGTATCAGTTAGTGTTTGATTCTAAGTAATGTGTTTCCGTGTGTCTTGTTTTGCTTGTTTACTGGATGAGGTTAGTCTGACATTCAATATAGTTAAGGGTTAACAAGCTTTATGACCTGTACTATTAAATGTATGGTGATTGGACATGCGATATATACACTACACCTCCCTGCGGATGCATTAGTGTGTATTAATAATTACATAGTGTACATTGATTTCATGAATGTTCAGTAATAGTGCAAGGTTGTTAATCTGTGTATTAAATTGATGTGCATCCCCACCTGGTTTAGCCTGCTGAGGCTGCCAGAAACACATCTTCCTCCTTGTTAGATGAATTATCAAAACACAAAAGCCAGCTGCAGCAGTTACTACTACAATGCATGCCAGTACAATCACAGGTGCGGGCGTGTAGGTGACGACCACTGCAACACAGGAACAGGTACCGTTATTCCAACTGATATACGTATTGTTGTTATTCACAATAGTTACATCTATTACACATGTACATCTGTGACACAGAGTCTTTGCTTAAAGCGTTAATGATGACAGGCATATGTGTCTCTGACATTTATGGTGTACTTCTGTACCCAGTACATAGACAAATCATATATGCTCTTCTATCCAGCATATTATGAATATACATTTAAGTCGTTTTTCACGACAAGGTAGAATACCATTTGCCAGTGATAAAGCATGGAGATTCATCTTGGTGGATTCATCTTGACCATATGTTGTTGTTTGGGTAATACCAGGCCATTCTGTTAAAAAAACAACACAAGCATACTTTATCATTTATATAAACACATACGTTTCAGTTTGTAAATGAATTATCCGTCATCAATACCTGTGCATAATTATTAAGAAACAAAGGCCCAGTGTTATAATAAATATATAAATTTACACATCTGCACACTTTTCCAGGATATAAAGCAGATAACAAATGAATATCTTCAAGTTTTAAATTATACTTACCCGGACATAAACGTCGACAGACTTCTCCTTCTGCATTGACACAGACAGAATCGCAGGAGTCACATCGGTTTACATTTTCATCATAATATTGTTGAGGCGGACACATACTTTCTCTTTGCAGACCTCGGCTTCCTCTGCTACCATAACCTATAGAAGAGAAAGAAATGTAAATATCCTACATGTATATATATATTGTTAGAGTACATGTCTAACGTGGTTTGAAATGTCTTTTACCTGTTCCTATAGACGAGATGCCGTAAGAAGTCATATAACAAAAAAATTAATACCATGTATATACCTTGTGTACGCTCACCTTTTCGCGAGCAACTGGTATCACTTTTTGATAGTGATTCATAAACACATGCTCATGATATTGTCGGACTCGTATTGATGTTTTTGGCAGAAGTTTCTTATGAATATAGAAAGGGTTTTGTCGTTTTTATTCATTATGTATCAATCTAAGTACAGATAGTCCTATCCACTCATTATGATGTATACTCATGAAGACGCTTTAGTTCTTGATATCGCATGATTATGGTAATTAATGCATTTCAAATACAAAACACTTTTATTTTCAACAGGGTGTAGCATAAAAACTACCCATGATCTTGATCTTCTCCCAATCGAAACAAATCTGTATCAACACTTTACACAAACATGTTCGCAGAGAATAAATTTACACCCAATCTTGCTTTTTCACTGGCTGATATTATTAACATAGCATCACATTGGTCGATATTTTTGGATGGTTTCTGGCATATGACGATATACAAACTATTTCACTGTTACTGAAATGAATAAGGTACATGTAAATTGCACCAATAAGACCATGGTGTTTTGTAATCACCCACTGATTTTGGTTGGCTTTGATATTGGGCCAATCCCGTCCCAAAGTGTCATGTAACTTTCGTGCATTAACATGTAAATCTAACATTGCAATGAAATAACTGCTTATATCCGGATACCAGCTTGTACATATTCCTGTCTGTTTGGTCGGATAGTCTTTGCTGGTTATTGTCTTCACAGCAAAAAAAGTGTAGGTTTCCGGCATCCGGGGGGGGGGGGGGGGGGGGGGGGGGGGGGGTGCATTTTGTTCACTTAAGTGTGAAACACATGAAAAAATTATCTGGAAATTACCAAGAAATTTGAAGGTTGCTGAAGGTATCTGGATGCCGGAAACCTACACTTTTTATTGCTGTGCTTGCATTGATAATTATATTCTACACCCGGATTTTGAAAATATTTCAGTCGATGCACACATAGAAGCGAAAGGGACGAAAATATTTATTTCTTTTCACATTTCCTGTTTTACAGAAATATGTGATGAATTGCATATATTACAATATTGACTTTACCTGGACACTTTGTTCTGCATTCCACTGTGGTTTTTTGTGCCTCAGAATATTCACATATGTCACTACAGGGATCGCAGTTGTTGGTGACGCTGTCATAATACATCCCTTCTTTACACACGGGCCTACCGCTGACTTGATATAATAACACACTCGTCACAAGGATTCGAAATAGACAATTCATATCAAGTCTAACCGATACCCTCTGAACAATGGTTTCGGTTGACTCGGACATGACTTTGAAACGATATATTCGGAACTCCCTGTGTTTCCAGTGTCCGTTCACTCCTGGTCCGTTTCAGACGGGTGTCCGGCTGCTTCCTGTGTCTGGCAATGAGGACGAACATTCTGGAGCGATCCACCCAAGACGCCATGTTTTAAACTGCTGTTAACAATGGACTGTGAATCACGAAACCTTTCGTGACGTCAATGGATTTTCCCATGTTGCTCTTTTTTAGATGACCCGTTTTTTCAGGTCCAAACTGGTGAACGTGTAATGCGGTAAAAACTACCAAATTAAATGAATGCATAAACGAGTTTAATAACGGTCATTGATGAGATTTAATTGAGATAAGGTCATGAAGACTTTAGTTAACAAATGATTGCATTTTTTATAAGCTGTACCTATGTATAACCGACACAACGCATGAATGAGCCTCTATAAATTTGTATCACTTATACCTAAACAAAGCGTGGAACACACATACATATATATGTATGTGTTTTCCACGCTTTGTTTAGGTATAAGTGATACAAACTTATATATATATATATATATATATATATATATATATATATATATATATATATATATATATATACACACACATATATATATATATATATATATATTTAGGTATAAGTGATACAAAGTTTTATATATATATCTATACACACACACACATGTATATATATATATATAAATTTAGGTATAAGTGATAAAAAGTTTTATATATATAAATACACACACACACACACACACACACACACACACACATATATATATATATATATATATATATATATATATATATATATATATATATAAAATGATAAACACTCACACAACAATTACGCCTTCCTGAGTTTATCAACACTGGCCATATTGAACAGAAAATAACCATTCTTTTTCGATTTTAAGCAGCTATATATAGTTGAATGAAATCAACAAATAACTGTACGATATAATGAATGCATTTTTTAATTTTAATTCCATTCCATTAGCCTTAATTATACGTGGATTTACGACGTTTCCTAAAATCTTAAACACATCTTAGAAAATGTGTATTCCCTTGAAACTTTGATTCCCTAATAATGTGAGAAATGTTTTAATATGTAATTAGCTGGTGCATGTGACAAAAAAATGTTCAAATCTGTGCTGTTTCCGTTTCAATGTTTATGTCCATAATAAATATATTTTAAACTTGTTCAGGCGTGCACTTTTATTCACTCACTTATGTATATTCCTTACTGTCTAATTATTTCAAACTAAAAACTAAATTCATAATGTATTATGGCAAAGCACATAATGGTTACAAAGGCATTATTGGTACAAAATGACACTTATAATAGTTCAATAACAAACCACTTCCCATCAAATTTAACATCGGTTTGTAGACTACAGTCACCATTCAATTCTATACTACAGAATTCAGGGATACGTATGGATCCAACTTTGGTTTTGTAGTTGCTGAATAGACAAGGATCAATTAAATTGATGAAATAAAACCCTAACATAATAACATTCAACTAATACCAAGTATTGATATATTCATTCACCTACAGCTATCTTTATCAAGCAACAGCTGATGAGATGCTGCCCAAAATAGCCGATTCGAGGTTTCTTGTGCACATATTGTGAAATTCAATGCAGATTCACAGGGACGCTATTCAGGGTAACCGACGGTTCCACGTCCTCATCCAGCCCTCTCCGATGGCTTGCGTGTTTTTCAATTCTTTCACAGAACAGTAGGATGACCAAGGCCGCCAGGGACACTAGGATGATGACCACTGCCAGTGTGATGACCACCCCCTCTGGTATCAGGTTCTCATCTAGAACAGCGAGACAAAAAAGAATGATTCAAAAGGTTCGTTGAATGTACATGCATGTATATCAGTGAAGATATACTCAAAGCATGATGATTCCTCATTGGAATTAGTAACCCTGTACTGAAGAAATATTCTGTCACATTATAACACTCACCATCGATCGGTGCAATAACTGCTGCCTCAGTTGCACTGGTGGTTGTAGCCGTGTCAATGTAAGCCTCCGGAACAGAGTTATCTGAAGACACTATCATAAACAGACTGCCATGAACATATATTTCACAGGAAGTGGCATTTACAATGGCCTTTTACTGAAACAATTTCCATACATGTTGCATACCAAATACAATAAATTATGTCTTTGGAATTAATTTACTTAATAAGAGCGACTATGAAAAGGAAGAGCAAGAGGAAAGCTTATAGCATCATTTGTTTGGTTCACATTGACCATGATAAGGGTTATCAACTTTTGAGATTCCTATAAGAACTCCTATAAGACGCTTCCATGAACACGGTGAGTTTGTATATCTTAAGTACCTATACATGTATGTACATGCTATGCTTAGGTTTCATGCTTTCCAGCTGCAAACATCATATATATAAACAAAGTGAATGTTTGTTATTTTGTTACATTTCTATTTGGGGATTTAATGAGTGGATTGACAGCACCTGGACAAAGGTTGGTGCAAAGTTCGACAGTTCCCCTAACTTCGGCTTGATGGCACAGCTCAGCACAAGACTGACACTTTCCAGATTTTCCATCCATATAGAAGTCCCTCGGACAGGTCGCCATTTCTCCTGTAAAATCCCGACTGCCCTCGTTTCCGACTGACTGGCCACGCACAAACCAAATGATTCCGTGTCATGACCCTGCATTCATCAATACGTCATATAATCGATGGATATGTTTTAGTCGTGTAGTGATGGTCGAAATGCATTGATTACGTACCGTGTTTTACTCAAACTTTGAAAACGTCAACGCCAGACTTGATTATCCACCAATACAGATTCCATCGGGCATAAAATATATACTCACAGAAAAACAAATGAAATGATGAGATCGTGGTGTTCAGGGGCACGTAAATATGAACATTTATAGCTACGAAACCATTTCTATATTCATAAGAAATCTCCGCTAAAAGCAGAGTCGATTGGACGATTCCGAGAATATCATGTGCCTTTGTTTTTTAATCACAATCAAATAGCAATGATACCATGATGATAGTTCTGAAGTGTTGTTCAGGTTTTACTGGTGTGTATAGGGTTTTTTAAAAGCATTATATTATCCAATGAACCATTAATACTGATTATTGTAATTTTGTCTGATGTCCGTTTGTTGTTTGACGCCATCAACAGTCCGTCTATATCATGGCAGCAGGTAAATAATCGACTCTGCGTCAGCCACATCAGTAAACACACACACACACACACACACACACACACACACACACACACACACACACGCACACACACACGCACACACACACGCACACACACACGCACACACACACGCACACATATCTTGGATATTTGCTCGTGTTGAACAGGATATGTGTGGCAGTAGTTATGAACAGAATGGTTGTTCTTGTAACAGTTATCTGCGTAAATGCCCTTCGACCTCCAAAACGTGTTGAACAAGAGTTCCTCTTTGCTTGTAAGCAGCAGAATCTCTGCACTTGTTCGCCGCAGATTTAATTCAAAATTAACACATCGTTTTTAGCTTCAACAAAATCAGTAAAGGCGCTAACATGTCACTGTATTTTCTGAACCATCACTGGATTGTCTAGACGGGACTCGATTGTTTACAGGCCGCCGTCGTATGCAAGGAGTACTTCTGTGCGACGTTGGGCAACAAGAAAACACTTGTACATTTTATCCAGAGTATGTGGGTATCGAGTGCTACCGGTGGAGGACATACTTACCCTTTTCTAGAACTCATGGTGTCACGATTTTCAGTGATCCATTCATGAAGTTGTACCGACTATTTTGCCTTTTAAGGCCATTTAAATCTGTTCGAACAGTTAATTGAGACTGATTATTCTCTAGCGTTGACTTTTTATGTGTATATTGATTTGATTGAACATTCTTCTGCTTTACATTCATGGTAATGGATGGTACGATTTCCCATAAACTATTGGTCGCAAGATATAGGCACGCCGAAATAAAATAGCTCGTCCTCATTCGTCAAGAAATTGGCCATGTGCATTTAATGTACATACTGTATCATAGACAGTGAACGTCTAATTCGATGCCATCAATCTGGAACCATCTGGTAAATACAGTTTGGTAACACTGTTAACACTGTATCCCTCCCCTATTAGCTATAAAACGTTGTCCCAAACATACACATAATCAACATAATAATAAATGAGGCCATAAACAAGTCGATGATCATAAGAAATTTCTGCCCAAAGCAGGATCCATTGTGAGATTCCGACTTTTTCATGAGCATGTGTTTATGAATCACATTCGAAAAGTTATGATACCAGATGCTCAAGGTAAGCTCATCATGCCCCACCGGTGGCATCCGTCAATGTTGTTCCGGATGTATAAACACACAGTTCACTTGCACAAGTGCAAACGTTCCGTTTCCGTCTCATCTAAGTTGCATGCTCATCTCGTTTGGGTATGCCATATATGTTTTTATGTCATAGGCATATGTCAAGAATAAATGCTGACACCATGTTGGCTATAATCTCAGGTGACGTCTCTATTAGTGTTGGTTATTCAAATAAGGCCAGAAAATATCGTGAACAGCCTTCTACACTATATTTCGGATCACAACTTTAAAATCATTATGGATGCTGTCGAAGCCAATGGGACTATAGAACAGATTTACCTGTTGAATATCTGTCTGAGTGGGTTAAGTTGATGCATGATGTTGTCATTGGTAGAATGCACAAATTAAAAAGAGGAAACAGAACTGGAATAAACCCATTCTGTCCCTGGCTGTTGTAATCCCAAATCTGGCTGCCCTACATCTTCCCAGTAACAAGGCCTTAAGTAACCTCGCCATCATGTGGAAGGATCACTATAAGTCATTAATTGTTCGATCAACGAACTTGGTATAAATGGCATATCTTGTAAAGCAAAATATTAAACCAGTGTAAGTCAGGAAGAAATCTGCATCAGTACTATCTTCTTTTAGCTTGACTCTAAGATCTGAAGACGTGTCCATTCCTTTGTACAGGAAAATGCGTACAAACACAGATGTTTTGTTGGGTCCAGCAAATGTACCACCAAATCCCTGTATCAAAGATTAACGATTCTCCTTAACGCAACAAGGAAGGACTTTCTTTACATTCACAGAAAATATTGGGACAAGCGGAATCAATTATTGTACCATGTGGGTTCTCAAACTTGCTTGATCCAGGAGGCTAAATTTTAGAACTAAACGTAGTGACTATACATATAGTTATAGCTCTATATTCCAATGTCCGGTGCAAATTCACAAAAATGAAAGCAAATGTCATGTAAATGTACTGAGAAAGCAATATTTGAAATGATGGCCTCATAGATTATCATTATCAATTTGTGAATAGGACATTTAGGCAAGAAGTACTCATAGATATCCCCAGGGGTACAGTTGTCCCCTCTCCTTGCTGATTTGTTTCTTATGATCAGAAATTGCGAGAAACAAAATTTCAAACGAATAATCAAAATCGTATTGCATAACATGATCCGAAATGGAACGACGACCATTAAATGATATTTGCTTGCCAATAACCCCATGAAAATATGTCAGCTGTCACTGATAAGGTCACTTCAGGTCACTTTCTTGTAAAGGACTAAATTGTCAGAAACACAGGTAGGGATGAAAGCTGATCCACTAACATGAGTGTTGATTGTACTTTAAATGTACATCTTCAAGCTTAATATGGCGAAAGCAGCTACAACCTGTCCACAATCCACAACGAATGACTTTTGTTGTAATACCGGTCGACGATTCAAGTCAGTACTAGTGTTAGTTTTACTGATAAATAAAGGTGATTTATTTGTTTCAGATCGTCCTGAAATGTTTGGTTATTATGTAGTCAAAGACAATCCTACACATTTCTGCATTTTGGTATTATGACTACCGTATTTGAAGGACTCTTTGATCATCGGCCTCATATAAAAAAACCAACAAGATATGTTTTGCAAAAGAGATGAATCCCGTTTTCACAAGCGGGTGGAAACCTGTAATGGCGGAGGTGTGCATTGTCATGAAAGATGACCTGATTTCGTCGTAACAAAACAATGATATATAGGTAAAGGACTTTATTCTAAGCTACCACATATCTGTCATGTTTCTTTTTAGGGTATGGATTTTTTTTCCTTTCAGTTATGAATAGGTTTTTTTCTTTTAAAGGTTTCAATTGGTTTGTTAACATAATTCGTAGCTTGTCATATCATTGTACCTCAGTGTGCTAGGTGTGCATTTACCTTCACCCAGTTTTGACTGATAAAGCTAGACAAGGTCAAGGTGTCACATAGTCACTCCCACGCGACCATGAATCATATCAATTGAAATAGATGAGGAGTGTGTGTGTGTTTGTGTGTGTGTGTTGTTTTTGATTTGTTTGTTTTGTTTTGTTTTGTTTTGTTTTGTGTGTGTGTGTGTGTGTGTGTGTGTGTGTGTGTGGGTGTGGGTGTGTGGGTGTGTGTGTGTGTGTGTGGGTGTGCTATAATTACGATGTGAAAAGTGTCAAATCTTGTCCTGATCAAATGTCAATTTTAAGATTAAGGTTTTACATTGTGTGTAGGGTCAAATACTTTTTGTCAATTTGTATTATGTCAATATATGTACACTAAACTTTAAGAACAGCATTATTCCTTGTTTGTTGACAATGGTATTGCATGGATAGGTTTATCACAGTATGGGGATGAAGGTTTAACTTTGCTATTGTCTAATATTCCAAATGCAAATACCAGTTTGATGAGTATCGGAGAGATCAGTAATGACGATTCATAAACACATGTTCTGAACCGCACTGAAAACCCTCTGCAAATTAATAGGAGTTGTTTCTTTCTTTCAAAAATGCTAGTCTGTCAAGGACCTTACACTAGCCCGATAACTCAAGGGAGGTAATTTACATCCCGATTTGAGTGTGGATGGTAATGACCAACACCTTGGTGGCGAACAGACCACATTCCCCATGAAGAGGAAGAACTTGCTTTCTTGTCCAATAAAACTAAGCTGAGTAATATATTCACAAGAAATTTCGTTAATATTAAGATATATTTATTACATTAAAATACATGTTGACATAACATTGTTTTGATAAGATCTATGTAGCATGAACTATCTTCCTTGAAACTGTTTGTCATCCTCGGGCTGAGTGAGAGGGTTTCCTTCGCCAGTCAAGAGTTCTGAGGAGCAGACAAAATTGAGTATGAAGCATACATTCACGAAAATCAAATCTGATAAATCTGTTTTGGGTCTTAGTTTATACAGATTGTGTTATCCGCGTCAATACCTGGAATATACAGAAAACCATCTTTTTATGTTTTTTTATTATTAAAATGTAATAAAACAACTGAAAATAATTAACTAAAGCTGATTTGTATTAGCGAATCACATGACATAAGGGTTCCCGTATATATAACGTGAGCAATATTTATCTGTGGAAACACCCGCAATTTGTCATATGGTCCGACCTGATGTGGCAGTGGCAGTGGCAGCGTGTGGGTAATGGGCCGGAGATGTTGGTGACATGTTGTAATCGTAAGGGTGGACGTATGTCGTGGATGAGGGATGAACTTACAGATGGTTGAATGAAGGGGATCTTGGTAGTTATGTCATTTATTAAGGGACGTTGGGGATTCATATTTGTGTGGGTATTGGTGAAAGTTGGTGTTGGTGACAGAAGGTGACAAATACCTGGTGTTGGTTTTGGATGATGCTGTCGCTGACAGAAAGACTTCTTCCTCCTTATCACGCCCACACACAGAAGGCCAACAACAGCAACCGCTATGACACACGTCGCCAGTATGATGATAACGTTGCTGCCCACTGTATGAAAAAACATCGAAAATGTATGTTTGTGTACAATAGCTTCAGTCATGACAAAACAAGCAGGATCATACGTTAATTTTTGTAACATAAGTAACTGAATGCAATTTTTCACAAATGCAGTAATTATGTTATCTGAAATTAGTGTTGCCTTTAAAAAATATTCATGTTTATATTGCATTGATGAGGTTACAACCATTGTATACATTTATGTGGGGGAAAATGATTAAAGAAATACAAAATTGAACAATACACGGACATGTATAAGGCAGATTGTCTTTGGCGAGTGATTTATTCTGAGGATTTTTCATGGTGGAATCTTGTGGAGACACAGTTGTAATGCTATAACCAGGCCATTCTGTAACAAAACAACAACATTCCTTACACATTTTAACAATATCATGTATTATCTCTGTAACTATAGGGATATCCACCAAAGATTAAAGGAAATGATATTAATACACCTTTAAATGATCGAGTATCTGGAAAGGAGAAAAAACTGACCAGGGCAGAGACGTCGACATGTTTCTTGATGGCCCGGATCCTGTGGTCCAGCATGGAGGCAGATGCTCTCACAGGAGTCACATCGGGACACAACGTCGTCATAATATTGTAGATAGGGGCATTTCTGTTGATGGAGAGATCCTCTCTTACCATATTCTAGAAGGAAAATAGATTTTCATAATCACGCTCCCTGGTTGATGGAGAGATCCTCTCTTACCATATTCTAGAAGGAAAATAGATTTTCATAATCATGCTCCCTGGTTGATGGAGATATACTCTCTTACCATATTCTAGACGGAAAATAGATTTTCATTATCACGCTCCCTGGTTGATGGAGAGATCCTCTCTTACCATATTCTAGAAGGAAAATAGATTTTTAAAATCACTCTCCCTGGTCTCAATGAAGCAAATTCTAAACCCACCTGGACACACAACAAATGAAATGCATATATACGTTTGCAAATAAAATGGCACAGGCTCTGCATTCTCCTTTTCTTAATGTCAAACGTGTGATAAGTATTTATGAAAAGGGACAATAAAATCAAGTTACAGTTAGTGTACTGTACGCGTTTTACGACTGCAACCATGTAACGTACTGGCTATTACATCACAACGCGATGCGAATAAACAAGGGTCATGTGAAGCAGAGCTAGCGTTAATCTTACCTGGACACTTAGTTTCGCATTCTGTTGTTGTCTTCTGTGCCTCGGAATAGTCACATATATGACTACAAGGGTCACAATTGTCGGTAACGATGTCATAGTATGTCCCCCCTTCACATATCGGCTTCCCTGCTACTAGACATAGTAACACAGATGCCAAAAGGAATCGTACTATGTTCGTATGAGGTTTAACCAACACCCTCCAAACATCTGTTTCGACTGAGTCGGACATGAGAGTGATAAACTCTATCCAAATCAAGTCTTCTTTCCAGTGTTACGTCACCCCAGTACTGATTTAGGGGGTCTGTAGTGACCCTCCAGGATTTGGTGGTGGGGCAGACCATTCTAAATCGTTGATAGAAACATTCCCTATTTTATACCCTGGATCTCACTATGGCGGATGACCTTTGTGGCAGATGACCTATATGGATCACGCCACCACAAATATTAGGTCACATGACCGGACTGTGACGTAAATGGGAATTCCCAAAATCTCGCTTCCGAGATTTTTTGGAGAGGTCAATTAATATATCTATCAAAACTTTGTAAAATCAACTTGGGCATTTGGACTTAATACTATTAGATAACTTTATATTTACGAGCAACATGTATCTTCATTTAAATATTAAATTGTCACATTGTATACATTCTGGGATATGATGAACTGTTCACATAAATATTATTATACACCCATGTAACTTTCTGTTCGCAGCTTTAAAAATAAACAATACTCTTCACAAATATGACAGGTCTTTGTTTGTGCGCCTTTGCGCTTGTTTGCAATTTACATAGAGCAAGACTGCAGACTGAATGTACCCTGCAGTCGATATCGATTCATTCCATTTATTGCTTCTTCCGACTGGGTCTACTTTTTTCGCGTGAAACCTCAATACACACGTTGCAAAATCACATCGTCATTTTATAGATTTTATCGTAAATTTAATATCAACAAGTTAAGTGGAATAAACACTCCAAGCATTTATGAACATGGGTTTAAATTTGATTAACTCGCCATCATGTTCATTGACCCTCCTTTACAGTAAGTAATAAAACGCAACGCAAATTGACATCCAATTTATTTTATATGAAATGATCAAATCTGAAAAATCTGATAACTAATTTTCTTTAATTTAGCTATATTACACTAATCGAAAATACATTTTCAGAACTGCTTGAAAATAGTAATAATTATTTTCAATTGATTGGGAAATGAAGCCTGAAGATACAATATGATAGAATACATTCATATTTACATTTGTTATACATTTCATGTTCTAATTAACATTCGTGCTGGTGTGTCTGTTTGAACAATCGAAAAAATGTGTCTCTACTATAGTTTCAGATTTGGGTCATCTTAGGAGATAGAATACGGACTTGAAAACGAGGAAACATTCTCTGATTTTGATAAATGGGCTTAAAATAAGAATGGCAGTAATGAAGAAAAATAGGATAAAATCGAACAGACGCAAACTATTATACTTGTCTTCTCAGATTTGAACTGGGTTTACAACGTTGACAGTACTTTACTTTTAGCCTGTAAAAGATCAAATATATTTCTCTTCTGAACAAAACTGCCGAGGACACCAGAGAAATCAGGAGGATGCTCACAGCCAGTATAACGACAGCATATTCTGCCGCCCCATACCCATCTGAAAAAAACCCTTATTTGTTTATTCAGCTAAATATTTATTATAACACATAAGATCAATCTAACGTAATCCTTAGTAAGGTTCAAATCAAGCTTTCTTTTGTCAAAAAACATAAACTGGTGCAAATAACCATTGGTAAGAAGGCGCTCATTTTATTTAACAGGCAGTTCCGAGCACAAATCTGTCAAATAGATCTCCATTGATTGTTTAAGTTGCCCCAGAATTTCAAAAGCATGGCTCGGTTATTACAATTATAGTATGGTGAGTCCAAATGACTTCATCATGACAGATTTTCGTTTTGTTCAACTTTGTTGCCTTCAATTACTCAAACAAATTGCATGTGCACAAACTAAATCGAGACACTTAATTGTTTGTTGCTCAACTCTGCAGCAATCATTATTCCAGCTATATGGCGGCGGGTTATAAATAATGGAGTCTGGACCAGACAATGCAGTGATTGATGTTATGAGCAACGGGGTCAATGGCATGCGATGAACTAAGTCAATTAGCCAGCCCAGCATAGGTTTCTGGGGATCAATTCTAACCCGGAATCCCCACGGGGTTAGATATTTTATGACAACAATAAATGGTATGAGGTAATAGTTTAACATGGTTTGGATATTCATAACGTGACGTGCATCTTTTGCAGATTGTTCATAAGGTATTAAAGAAATACTACATTCTTTACATATCATACCACATGTACTGCTAGTATTCTGTGCGTTTGATCGAGACAATACACCAACTACTTTTGGTATAAAAATTTGTATATAATGCCCTATTATGCACTAGATACTTGGAACCTCACATCGTTCACTACTTGAGGTATCGTCTGATAGTAGAGTTGCAGACGTTGTTGCAGTTGGAGCATTCAATAAAGCTGTCACAGGCTCCGGCAGCGACACTGAAACACAGTAATGTTATAGACATGCAATATATCAATTTCATACAAGTCCCGAGCTTTTATAATTTTAGATCATACTTTTAAAAGCGATAGTTTACCACTTATAACATGAAACAGTATATTCACAGCAAGATCTGAAAGGATGTTAAATACAGGTGAATACATCTATTTCAGTTGTCAATGTATCAAACTGAAATGTTTGGACGAGTCTCCTAATACTTTATATTGTGTCATATTTCTTGCACATCTCGTATTAGATTTTTCATCAGTTTTAATTATATGAATTCCATGGTACCTGGACACAGTTTTCTACAGCGTGCGCCTGTCCCCCTGACATCGGCTTGGTGGCAGAGTTCATCACAAGGCTGACAGGTGCCAGAGACTGCTTCCCAGTAAAAATCTTTTGAGCAAATTCCCATCACTTCCTTCTCTTGGTACAACAATACGATCTGCATCATGCAAAAATATTCTCATTACGAATTTTGGTGAAAATTTGATTTCACAACAATTATATTTGGTAAAATAGACCCACTTGATGAATTAAGCATGTTAATATTAATTCATGAACATTATGATATAATATAGACTTAAAGAAATATATAATTTTCCAATTCTTCAGAAGAAACATGTCATATTATTGTTGCACCTATAGGTATTTTAACATAATACTAAGTCTGTTTAAATAAGTACCTGGCTGTGCATGTTTCTACAGTGTACTATCTCTTGTAGTGTATATAATTCAGTGTTTCTTGACAATAAAACATGCTTAAATGAATCAGTCAGTAGCTACGCAATAAAGTCGTTATGTCTCCTTTTACCACCAGTTTAATAATAACATGTCTCTCAACGCATATGTACATTTAGCTCCATATTAAAAATATTGAATTGTCATATCCAGTTTGGTAAAAACACATTATGGCTGTTATGTTATCATCGTCGGAGGCGAGTTCAAAGGCGCCGTCCATCACCACTGATAGTGCCGTATGTTATCACGTGAACCACCCCATCAATTACAGCAGGTACAATGGCAGTTTCCATATACATACGCGGTGTCTGCAAACGAATTATGCAATAATGCCCGCAACTCGCCACAAAATCACTCAAAGTCTTGTTAGTCTACACGGCCAGTGTTGTCGAACTGTCGGGTAGATTTAATTTCCTGTGTCACAACTACATGTAGTAGTAGTTTTTTTCTGTTGTGGGGTGGGGGTGGGGGTGAGGGTACGTATTACACTCCTTTTGGGGCCTACATGTGCAACATAATGCATCTATTTCGATTTCCATCACAACAGTGCCAACAGTGCGTGAAAATAACTGTCTCAACTTAACGCTTCAGATCTTTACATGTCGACGTGTATTGTGGTTCCTGTGTGTTGTTGTTTTTTCAAATTAAATTTAATAAATCCTCGAACGGGTTAGAGTATTTAGTATACGTTTTCCATTCACCTAGCCTCTTGTTTCATAAACAAAACGGATATTACCAACAATGAGTAACTAAAAGTAAGAGCCACTCCAACCGGGTGAACAACCCTGTTTCGGTACATGTATATGTAATGATAATAACATTTAAATTCTACTACAAAGATAAAATATGTCCAGGCATAATCTGTTATGGATAGAACCACACATAACGGCTACACATACAAACTTCAAAAAATGAAACGCACAGGTAGTATGTAGTTCACTGAACCTAACTACACAAAGAAATCCGGTATATAAATTGGATATATGTTATCGGAAAATGTTGGTGGCCTGATATTCGACAAACGGTGCGTCAAACCACAGCCATTGTCGATTTGCAATGTCTTAAACGGTATTGTTTTCACACTTGTTAAAAAATGTCATGGAGGAAAACAGTAAGGCAAAATGCCGGTGAAAGTTATGGCATTCGTAACTCGTGGTAGTGGCTATAAAAAGGCAAGCATAAGACAAAAATGTGTCATTGATATGTCAACATTTTTCAAATTAAAAATACCGAGACTCAGCGCTGCCGATCGGAACATCGCCATAGGACGTATCCAAAGAGGGGAATCGCAGTCTTCTGTTGCACGCCACTTCAACGTTCACCACAGCACCATTTGCCGCCTTTGTGACCGACACACACAGTTCAATTCCACTGCAGACAGTCCGAGAACCGGTCGACAAAGAGTTACCACCCCTGCACAGGATCGCTACATTCGACTGTTCCACCATGCCACAGCTATGGAGACTGCAGGACGCATCCCTGGTTTGAGGAGGATATCGGACCAGACTGTCAGGAACCATCTTCGCGAGGCTGGAATCCCGACCCTGTTTTGCACCAGATCCATCGACAGCGACGCTTGCGTTGGTGCCATACCTTACATCCTTGGAATTAAAGACACTGGCGGCGGTGTCATGGTGTTGGGTGCAATATCCTACACCACGAGATCTGACTTGGTTGTGATTCAGGGGAAGTTGACAGCAAATCGCTACATGAATCTAATTCTTCAACCTCACCTTCTTCCAATCATTGACCGCCAGGGGAGCTGTTTCAAAAGGACAACGCTCAACCGCACACAACTCGTGTCACGGTAGATTACCTCATAATGCCAACATCAACTCCAGATCTCAATCCAATCGAACACCTCTGTGATGAACTCCATCGACGTGTACGTCAACGTCAGAACACGCCGCAGACACTCCCACAACTGGCCAACGCGTTACAAGCAGAATGGCGCAGAAGTCATGAGTTATGATGGTTATGAGTAACAACATGTAACTATTAAATTAAATATATCGACTTTATAAGATACAATACATTTACTAAAAATCTTCCTGTGCGTGTTTTTTAAGAGTGTAATCTGTTCAGTAAACACGCAGATATGCTTCCAGGAAGCATGTTCATACCTAATTTTAAATATGTGTGAAGGAAGCCACACTTACTGTGTGATCATTGCTATTATTAACTGACGCGGAACACGAAAACAAGTCCGCACGCGCCCTGTGGATAAACAAATAGTCCCCTATATTAACATCTACCAATTGGTACCGATCTACATAGTGGCCATCGATATTTATTTTGACTATCTGAACATGTTACACGTCAGCAAAATATGTAAGTCACGACAAAAAAATCATTACTGAGGTAATAAAAGTGCTTTGTGTGTTGATTCTATGTTTAGGTATCGACTTTGGAAGATAAATCGGGAATACAGTTAAGAGAGTCTCCAACCAAATTAACGACTTATTCACGTGACCAACGATTATCTATGAATAACAGTTGTTTACCACTGTCCTCTTTTGTGAGATTCCTTCTTCGGGAGGCAGGCGGAGTAATCTGAACTTGTTCACCGTGCTACTTTACGTTGCATCACAAGTAACAATACTAGCTTTAAAAAATACAGACTGGATCGATGTCAGTTTTAATGTGGTGTATAACATAAAATATATCATGTATTAATCAGTTTACAACTCTCAAACATGTATTCATAACGTTATGACAAGGAATACCGATTGTGTAGTCCCAACAACAGGACGTGACCTTTTCCCCAAACTACAGGAAGTGACATTTTAAAGCTGTACAACCGGCGATTGAGATATTGGGAAAAATAAACTCTACAATCAGCCCCATAATTTTACAATTTGATATTGTCTGGTTACTGAGATTAGTCGTCGGGAGTACATTCTGGTGTAATAGAATGTCACGAGATCTCTACACAATATAGCGGTTATTACATACAAGGCGACTGCTGTTATCTCTCTCTCATACCCACTCTACAATTGAGACGAGAATGTCAGGGTTGCATGTTTGGAGGTGAGGTGAGGTGAAATTGGGTTTAACGTCGCGTCCAAGATTATTGCACTTATATAGCGACGTGCATGCACGTGTATGTGTGTGTGTGGCTGCTTGTACTAGTCCAGACTGATGCCGATTTATAGTGCTAGCTCACTGAGATACCATGCCGCAGTTTAACATGAATACCCCACTCAGACACAGTATACTGACTCCGAGCCGACCAGTCCTTGTTTTAGCCCCTTAATGCCGAGCGCCAGACAGGGTAACAACAAGTACAATCTTTTAACGTCTTTTTGTATGACGCGGCCCGGGATCGAACCCCTGACCTTCCGCTCTCCGGGCGGACGCATGTTTGGAAAGTTCGTGACATGAACTCTCACTGTATTTGAACTGCCATTATTTAGAACTGTATAAGAACCTGCGTGTAATCTTACGTTTTTCAATACCCCATGATATCCTTATAACAAACATAAGGTTGTAAACATGGTTTCATATGGTATATCAATAAGCTACATCCGTGTTCTTTATACCAAATGGCAGTCCGTGAGTTTAGATTTGTTCCACATTTTTGTATGACCTGTTACCGTGAAAAAAACACAAACATCAGTGATCATGAGGGCCTTTAGTTTAAATATTCTACAAGGATGTTTGGAAATCCAATTGAAGAGGGACAATGCTCGGGCTAACTAGCAGTCCTAGCAAATTTGATTCGTGTCCCCGAGACAACACATTGTTCTCCAGCTCATTCAAATGTGTTCATGATAAAGTAGGAATCGTACAGGAAAGGTTAATCCTAAGTAGGTTATAAGTTTCCAGGTATGGTTAGATTTATGACAAGCGACCAGATTCTAAAGCAAGCAATAATTAATTTATGAAAGTGTATCTTTCATATACTCACGGAGATTTCACAATATTCACAGTCACAATGTGTTTGATTTCGTTCTAGAATTAACGTAGGTCATTAACATCAGGGAAAGGGGAACCAGAAAGGAGTGGTGTGGGTTGGTGTGGGTTGGTGTGGGTTGGTGTGTGTGTGTGTGTTTGTGTGGAGGGGGGGGGGGGGGGGGGCGGTGTCTCTAGTTCACTATTAATGCTTTTCTGTTGCCATCATTGATCAATTCAACCTGTAAGTAAATGTCATGCAATGTGCACATGACCCGTGAAGATTCCGGGATAGAATAGGTCTTCAGTAACCCATACTTGCCGTAAAAGGTGACTATGCTTGTCGTAAGAGGCGACTAACGGGATCGGGTGGTCAGACTCTCTGACTTGGTTGATACATGTCATCGATCCCAACTACGTGGATCGATGCTCATGATATTAATCACTGGATTGTCTGGTCTAGACTCGATTATTTACAGACCGCCGTCATATAGCTGGAATATTGCTGAGTGCGGAGTTAAACAACAAACCAACCAACCAATGTGCACATCTGTATTTCTTTGTTGACTGGCCATCAGCCCACAAAATAAACATTCACATAACTATAAAAAATTCGATCTGTAGAAATACAAACAGAAAAAAAACGGATTTTTCTTACACAGCCTAATAAATAACAATTTTGATACCGGTTGGTGTTCCTTGTGGTCATCATTACAGTTGAATGCATATTACGTTTGGTCCTGAAAGTTTAAGACATAAAAAACGCCAACGGATAAACTGAAGACATATCTATGACAATGACATATATTGTGTTATGGTCAGGGGAGCATCTTCATAAATACGGTTATTACCAATTCCTGCGGGGGAAAAAAGGATTATGCTAACAACAAGAACACTGTGAAAAGAGTTCCAGATCCATTTTTATTTACAAATACTGCAAAAACCTTACAACATATTTTTTTGAATTTATAATTACAATTGGTATAGGGACATGTGATCATTAGAGCAACTGGAATAATTACTTCTTACTTTTACCAAAAATCCAACTTGGTGTTGATGCACACCAACGTCCATTATGACAACCAAGCATATGCATCGTTCTTAAACTATAACATGTCACATTCCAAATTAATGGATCCCCTGATACACTATCAATGGCGAAACCGCATTATCAGTGGTTCGAGTGTCAAAGGGAGCTAACTCTAAATATACATTGGAGCTATGCTGTTTAGTTACGTATCCGAGAAAAAACATGGCGCTGTGAAAGCGATAATCTGTTCCGCCTGTCACTTAGTTCATCATTAAAACTGCACAGGGTATTCTATTTAGTGAATCATTCCCATCAATACGAACAACAGTAGTATGACTCACGATTGTTACAAGTTTATGTCAACATTACTGAATTGTGGATCACTTACTAGCTGGTTATAAGAGGGTAACAGATGTGGGCCCACATTTCGGAGGGACTTTCTTACTGAAACACTCAGCATCTTGTGGTGTGGAACAAATATCTGAGACATGAAAGGTAGGCCATTTCATAATCCTAGTCATCTTATTAATTGAGGATAATTGTAGATATCACCAACGAAACTGTATGCGTCATGAATGAAAACCGAAATGTGGGCCCACTTTTTTTTATATCTATATAGAGATTTTTCTGAGTGGGCCCACATTTTAAAAAATGTGTAAATCAATACAATTCTTACCATTAATTTTTTTTATTTTGACCGTAGTAATAAAACAGAAAGACAAATGAGCTCACCTTCAAAACAAGGCGATAGAGTGAAAACAGAAATGTGGGCCCACTTTTTTTTTTATCTCTATAGAGATTCTGATGGGTGGGCCCACATTTTAAAAAATCAGTAGATCCACAAATCTCACCATATTAAAACTAATCTATTGACTGTAGTAATGGAACTGTTGTTATGAAAAAGAATGACAAATGATATCACCAACGAAACTGTATGCGTCATGAATGAAAACCGAAATGTGGGCCCACTTTTTTTATATCTATATAGAGATTTTTCTGAGTGAGCCCACATTTTAAAAAATGTGTAAATCAATACCATTCTTACCATTATTTTTTTATATTTTGACCGTAGTTATAAAACAGAAAGACAAATGAGCTCACCTTCAAAACAAAGCGATAGAGTGAAAACAGAAATGTGGGCCCACTTTTTTTTATATCTCTATAGAGATTTTTCTGAGTGGGCCCACATTTTAAAAAATGTGTAAATCAATACAATTCTTACCATTATTTTTTTTTATTTTGACCGTAGTTATAAAACAGAAAGACAAATGAGCTCACCTTCAAAACAAGGCAATAGAGTGAAAACCGAAATGTGGGCCCACTTTTTTTTTATCTCTATAGAGATTTTTCTGAGTGGGCCCACATTCTAAGATCTGAGTAAATCTACTAGTCTTACCTTTCTAAATGAAAGACCATCACAGTAAGTAAACACAAACACATTCTGAAGATTATAAACTGACATTTTATTACCCGGTAATTCATAACAAAACAAAAGGACTCAACATATCATTTCATCCAAACATGTGACATCAGTAGCAATATAACAATGACATTCAGATCATTTAGTATTTGTCATCACAATAGCAGCTTTTGATGGGAACTCTGTTTCATTTTATCTTTTCAAATATGAACTCACATGTCAGCGTCCTCAATACACATTGATATTTACCTTCCACAAATATTTTAATTAGATAGAAACAGTAACAAATTCTATAATGTCACAAACAAAATACCCAGTGTGGGTATTTTAATGGGAACAAAATTCTAATCATGGTAATGAAAATTTATTTATGAAACACTCACCCACACGTCATTTCTATCACGGTTAGTTTCACCAGAACTATTTAAACAGGAACTATCTGACATATCAGTGGCAACACCAGCATATAACATGTCAATCTCAGGAACGTTTAAGAATAACAGTTTAAAAACAAAACAACATACAATGATTCTGCACTCTGTCATGATTATCACAATGATTGAGTTTGATATTGATGGAAACAATATCATATTTCACACTGAATACTGGAAACACAATTTAGGCAACTTGAATCATCTGCACAGATGATGAATAGAAATCTTTGTAGCACTATCTGTCAAACTATTGACATACATGTGTCCTTCATGATACATGTATGTTTGAATTGTCAAGAACATCACAAACATTGTAAAGGGTAACAGTGTCACAATAACTGATGCTATGTTCATATGAACTTGATGGAAACATTTCTATATTTCCAAGCACAATGGGCAAATTGATAAATGAGATAATCAGTAGATTACATTCTCATCAAGAGATCAGAATTGATCAAATTGGTTCATTCAAATATTCATACAAATTTGTAGTATTTGTTCATAAGGCCAAGCATGAGGGTAAACATACATTCATTCTTGTTGTTCCATCGAAACATAATCTCATCAAGATGAGCAGCTAACTGTTCTCTTGGGACACCATGCATTGACTTAAACTTTGCCTTTGCATTGCCCCAAAATCCTTCAATGGAGTTGGTATGGGCCCCAGTTTTGGGGTTCACATAACCATCCTTGTGTTTTACAGTGTCATGGGCATACCCTGCCTTTTGTAGACAAATATAGGATTTGAATTCATCAGTAATTATTTGTGTACCGACTTCAACATGGGCAATGATTATTGGCAATAGGGTGTCTGTTGTTCTGTCATGAACATTAAAAAGCAGAACCTTCTTACTTTGCCTATCTATAAGGCCAAAGATCCAAAAGTTTCTAATGCCCTGACTGGAACCCATGTTGTATTTTCTCTTCCTCCCCCATTTACTTTCATCCATTTCTACCACATGACCAACACCCCCAAGGACAACAGGATCGTCCAGAAGAGAACGGGACATTAAATCACGGTATAAATTGTACCAGTTGTACACAGTGTTCTCACACACGCTCAACATTTTTACAGTGATGTGACCGGGAACGTCATGGCAAAAAAGGTACAAAATCATTAACAGTGTGCCAAGTGAAGCTTTCTGGCCTTCCCAGAAACTTCCAAATCTAACAGATTTACATTTTCTACATTTAGTACAACGCCACACATGGCCATCTGATTTGTTCTTTTTATCTTTCTGCCATGACATAGACATATTACATTTATCACAGTTCATTGTTGAAGCTATCAGATTGTTTTCTTTCATAAAATCACAGGTCTTTTCAAAGTTATTACATATCGCACCAATCTGAATTAAATCACATTCCATGATGTTTCAATAAATAGAATGTCCAGTGAAATGCTTGAATGCTTCCATGGCTATCCAACAACTGTATGGCTTGGAGAAAATGCCAGTACACAAAAGTGATTCTACCCACCAGAACAATCTTCCAACAAATGTAAGTCCATCCAATCTTCTGACAAATAGAATCTTGAATCCTTCATGGGAAATAATTGCAAATTGGTACATCATGTAGCTGTTCCCAAAGATACGTTCAACTGAGTCATCATGAAAAGTTACATGTTGTAAAGACTGTTGTGTCGATATATAGTTCCAATTTGAAGCAAGATTTTCCACAATATTGGTGTGGGTAAATATGGCAATATGAGTAATGTAAGATTGCTTTCTTTTGGACCACCAAAACAACAACTGTTTTATTCTCCCTTCCTTGGCAGGCAAACCCTGAGCAACGTGACTTAGTTCATTCAAATGACCTGACACAAACATGATTATGAATAACACACACAAAAACAAGCGCCAAGTTCATGATACTTTTCCCGAAATCCACTCAGATATTTGGTTAAAAGTGTCCGGATAGTGAATTCAATTGTGTTCTTAGGTGGGTATCTAAATGTCTGATGGATGTAGAATTTCAAATTTAGTCTGTTCATATAAAAAACAGCATTCAAAGTATTTCTTTTATATCTCCTTTTGTTGAAGGTCTTCTTTTGCCTTAGTTGGTACTTGTAATAGCACAGAACATCCAAATCATGCTCAGGAAAGAGTGGTTTAAATCCATGTGAATATAAGTGTTCATTTACCTCATCTTCCTGATAATCTTCAATTGGGGCACAGTTTTCTTGAGATGTGAATCCACAAAAATTACAGAATCTCTCCTTACTCTTGAAGATAGGGTAACTCCTCTTTAGCCAGAACTCAGAATTACAAACACGAAGACTCTTGACACACGTTAAATTAACGCAACATTCTCGAATTTCTTCCATGTCCCATAATTAGGGCGTGATGATATTCCCAGAGAACTCTCCGTAGTAAAAAATCGGCAGACGTAGTAAAGCGATTAGCATATGACCCCTATCTATGACGTCAAAGGTCAAAATCTCAACCAATGGCGTCATAGATAGCGTGGGAACTGTTCCACAAAAGGAATACCCTCATGAATATTAATGAGCCTACGTCCTAGTTTCGCGGGGCAAGTGTTCGTGTCGTTTGCTATTGTTTTACTTTATTGATACTATTTCATGCATTTTGAGTGAATAAGTGACTCTTAGATTGAGTTTTTAAGTAATCAATTTGGTAGATATATTTAATTTAAAGTCTACTGAGTTCCTTAGTTTCGAATGTGGGCCCACTTTGCCCGTCCGATGGAGTGAGATAGAGTGACCTCCCTTGAACCACTGATAATGCGGTTTCGCCCTATCAATCGTATGTATGCAGTGCATCTGTATACCGTTTGACTGGCAATCGTGTCAAAGGTAGATTAGTTATACAATAGCATGTACATGTAGAGCACGTTTACACCGTTTGACTTGTCCTCGCGTTAAAGACCTGTCAGAAATTATATATTGCTTGGGTTACTTTCGTTTGGTAATACCGCCATATAAACATCGTGGGTCACTTTTTTCAAGCCTGAGTTGCATTTCCATTTTGGGGACATTGACCATACAAAGTAACAGAGGTTATTGGATTTGGGGCGGTCTTGAACAACAACGAGGCCTTTATCCAGAGATATTCTCTCCTTCTAATCCTTTCTCGGATGTTAGGCATGATTCTGCGCCATGACGAGGAAGTGTTGAATCTTGCCCTGTGTATTTTCAGCACCGAATATTGTGCGCTCTTATCACTGCGTATAACACTGTCACCAAATCAGTCAGTCATATCAATGTCAGACTGCTACAACAGCTGATCAGCAGCTGAATGAGCGTTGACAATGCAGACAGCTATGTGTTTAGGTCAGGTGCAGGAGGCGAGGGTCTTTCGTTTTCAGGAACACCTGCAGTAAGGAATGCAGAGATGAATATCATCATAATGTAAAATTATATAATTGTGGTTAAGTAAAGAGTTGTTTCTTTTGATAAATGTGTTTGCATAAACAGATATGAACGACATATTAATACGGTCATACAAAAGTCACAATTAGATAGACTATTTCGTCTGTTAGCGTAAAAGTATATTGAACATTACTACAATATTTTATAGTTGATATTCATAAGCAAGAGGTCTATTCACTTTATAAATGCTATTTGGTGTACAAATGCTTCATTGTAGACAAAATATATTCTCATTACCATCGGACATATATATTGTCTGATAAACAGATAACCTCCTAGTTCCAGAGAAAAAAAAAGATTGCTGGATTGGTTATGTTCCTGATAAACAAATTACATAAATTTCCCTCACTTAATCTCTGCATTTCCTCCTGTGCCTGCCCGTGCTCTTGTGTCCCACTCTTGGTGCATTTTGCCTTGGTCAGTCTGTGGGTAATTCGTCTGGACAGTTCAGGTCTTATCTTGTGTATCACAATGGCCATCATTACAACAGCAACTACCACAGCTAAGCTTCCGAGGACAATCAGCGGAATATTATCTGCGATGGAAAATAATCAGATCTTCAGGGCAAGGAAAACCAAACTACCTCTTTATTTGCTGCTAATGAAAAGTAATTCCTGTAAATAACATCCACAGTAAGTATTATAACTACTGATATAGTCATATAGTCAAACAATTACAGAACGGTTAACAAATTCGAAGATAACGTTATAAAAAAGATTCTTACGACGACTGCCTACTGACGTATGTCCTTCAGGCTCTGTTGATCCGTTTGCATAATATGACGTGAAGGTAGTTGCACTAATGCCATAAACATTTGCAGTTGTCCATTCTGTAATAAAATGTACGACCACAGCGAATAAGACACGTTTGATGATATATATTCATATATATTGTTATATTACGAAGACAGCAAATTCTTCCAATGGAATAATATAATATTTACGACTGACATCACCTTGACATGAAAAAAACAAACGCCTCCACGATGACAAAATTCAGATTTGAGCTGTAGATTAAATATATACACAAACAGATTCTTTATCCCTGAATTCTCATAAGGAATACTATTATCGGCAACATAACTCTTTACTTTCATCTATTAAAAGAAGACTCGTGAATCATTTACCTGGACAATGTCGGTTGCACTGTTCCTGTTGGCCTGTCTGCTGGGCGTGTCTGCATAACGCGTCACACTCCTCGCATCGCCCAACTACTACGTCATAGTACTGCGTGGATAGGCACGGCCTTTCGTTGACAGCCTCGAGGTAACCTTAGAGAACAGGGGAACGTTGAAACCAATATATGTCACGTTACCATCACTGTGTTCATAGCATCTGTAAGCTGGTGTAAAGCCCTCACATTCAATATATACAAATGTGTGATTTCTATAATTATATTCGAACATTTAGGTTGATAAATCATAATACACCGTAATGTAGTAATCGGTTTCATATGTGTCAATATTATATCTGTAAACTAAGCGACAAATTTAATACGCCAAACATAAATGTATGTTATTCTTCGATATTGGTCTCACGAGTCCGCCAACGTGTTAGCGATATACATGAAGAGTCATTCAACATTAACACTTTATCATTTTGAAAAATGGTCTTACGGTCAACACCAGTACTTGCAGAAGATACTAGAAAGACACATAAAGGTTCTGTTCCTAAAGGTCTTTACATGTAGATACGGTGAAATGGCACACTGACCTGGACACTTGTTGTGGCACTTGTCAACTGTTTTCTGGATTACAGCGTGTTGACAGATATCACTACAATGGTCACAGTTGCCTGTAGCCTCATCGAGGTACAACTCCTTTCCACAAGTCGGCTTACAGCTCGATTCGGCAATATACCAAATAAGCAGTACTCCACATCCTAGGAAGGAAAGGTGATCAGCCATGTTGGATTTTATCCGTTTTCAAACTCGGTCCTGTAAGCCTCAAGACAACTAATAGTGATCCCGCTAGCTGTGTGAGGAACAGTGTGCAGGATGTCGGGACCGATATTGTTGCCTCCTTGGACGACAGCAAAAGAGTGACTACACTTCATTCTGACATGAAAGTTTTATCTACCTGCGCGGGTATTCCCCTACCACAGCCGGGTATTCCCCACCATCGTTCATAACTGTTTAGACGCATGCGCATGTTATGAGGTGATCCAATATCGTCCCGCCCCTTTCCGAACCCTGCACGAATACTCGTACCCCTGTCGGTCAATGTATGTGGGAAATACGACAAATCAATCGGAATGCGGGTATGATCGGAGGTACTTTGATAAAAAATAATCTAGAGTACTTAAATCCAATATGTGATCATTTAATAAATTGTGAAAAATGTATGTCATTATTTCGACACTACAAAGTCCATGGATATCAGAACTGTGTTGTATGAATTGTATGTTGTTAATTACAGATTGGACCATGCATGTGCGTCTGGTTACATTCAATTTACGGTTCAATTGATAGCGATATCTTATTCCATTGAGTTTTATCGTTTACGATCCATTTGAGTATGTCAGCTAATTTATGTTTAGACAATTTGATATTACACATATATTGTTTAGGGCTAATGTATAGCTCTTGATTTGTTAAACTATCTAAATAGATGATAATGATTACCGTAATATATGATACTATTTTACTATTTGTAAGAAATCGAAGCTACATGTGAAACACTTCATAAGGAATAGGAATTAATAAGTGTCTGCTGAATACTAGTAATTTTCATCATTATTTTGCCTTTTACGTCAACTGGAATGTGTTTCGGCAGATAATCGAGACTGCTAATAGTTATTGTTTTCTTTAGCCTTGACGTTCTACATTTGCATTTGATTTTTTCCGCTTTTCCTTATACCTGTCCGATGTTACAAAAGAAATTCTCATGTTTGACGTAATCCACAGCTAGACACATCACATCAAATGTTTATTGTTTTTGATGGCAACCAGTAAATAATCGAATCTGAACCAGACAATCTGGTGAGTAATCCATCTAACTTCGCCACTGGGTACAGTGACACGCAATCAAACAATGTCATATCGATCCTGACCACCTGATCCATTAAGTCGCTTCTTAGGACAAGGAATGGGTTGTTGGGATTTGCCGTCTTTTGGCCTAATTATTTTACCTCAGTTTTCATATGTGTATGCTAATTACGTTATTAAAATCCATTCCCTTGTCCTGCTTCAGTGTTTTGTAAAGGGCATGTTGTATATTCCTTCTGGACGCTCTTCTGACATACACAAAAGACCTAATAGCATCAAGTCAATACTCTGAATCGTCAGTTTACATATACTTGTACGGTCGATATAACGATGATTCAGTCTGCTCATTGCGTAAGACCCCTTGTATATTGCAACACGACACACAACAACAAACTACGTAGAGATGATTCGCTGATGCGTGAAAGTAGGTCAGGTGACATTCCCCTCGTTTGTAAACGTTTAAAACATGGAAATTATGACTTGGCAGAATGTACGACGGTTGTTTATGCTACTCCGTATAGTTAGGCTAAGTATTTTATCATTTATGGTCAATTCATCACACATTCAATAAACACACCTTTCTTGGTTTTTAGTTGTTTTTTTCAGTACTGCTGACGTATATACGTATACAGTGGCTTAAGGTGCCTCAACGTGATGTCTATAATCGCGTCTGGACAAGACAAACCAATAATTGATACTATGAGCAACGTCTCACACCGTCGGTTTATGATGACGTGTATTCAACCAAGTCTGACCACCCAATTCACTTAGTCGCCTCTTTCGACTAGCATAGGACGCTGGGGACATACTCTAACCCAGAATAGTTGTATGAATTGTATGTTGTTAATTACAGATTGGACCATGCATGAGCGTCTGGTTACATTCAATTTACGGTTCAATTGATAGCGATATCTTATTCCATTGAGTTTTATCGTTTACGATCCATTTGAGTATGTCAGCTAAGTTATGTTTAGACAATTTGATATTACACATATATTGTTTAGGGCAAATGTATAGCTCTTGATTTGTTAAACTATCTAAATAGATGATAATGATTGCCGTAATATATGATACTATTTTACTATTTGTAAGAAATCGAAGCTACATGTGAAACACTTCATAAGGAATAGGAATTAATAAGTGTCTGCTGAATACTAGTAATTTTCATCATTATTTTGCCTTTTACGTCAACTGGAATGTGTTTCGGCAGATAATCGAGACTGCTAATAGTTATTGTTTTCTTTAGCCTTGACGTTCTACATTTGCATTTGATTTTTTCCGCTTTTCCTTATACCTGTCCGATGTTACAAAAGAAATTCTCATGTTTGACGTAATCCACAGCTAGACACATCACATCAAATGTTTATTGTTTTTGATGGCAACCAGTAAATAATCGAATCTGAACCAGACAATCTGGTGAGTAATCCATCTAACTACGCCACTGGGTACAGTGACACGCAATCAAACAATGTCATATCGATCCTGACCACCTGATCCATTAAGTCGCTTCTTAGGACAAGGAATGGGTTGTTGGGATTTGCCGTCTTTTGGCCTAATTATTTACCTCAGTTTTCATATGTGTATGCTAATTACGTTATTAAAATCCATTCCCTTGTCCTGCTTCAGTGTTTTGTAAAGGGCATGTTGTATATTCCTTCTGGACGCTCTTCTGACACACACAAAAGACATAATAGCATCAAGTCAATACTCTGAATCGTCAATATAACCTTTACATATACTTGTACGGTCGATATAACGATGATTCAGTCTGCTCATTGCGAAAGACCCCTTGTATATTGCAACACGACACACAACAACACACTACGTAGAGATGATTCGAATTCGCTGATGCGTGAAAGTAGGTCAGGTGACAAACCAATAATTGATACTATGAGCAACGTCTCACACCGACTGTTTATGATGACGAATATTCAACCAAGTCTGACCACCCAAGTCATTTAGTCGCCTCTTTCGACTAGCATAGGACGCTGGGGACATACTCTAACCCAGAATAGTTACGGAAGATGATATTAGATGAACTCAAACAACACGTGTAGTTTCATAAAATATAGAATATATCTGTGCAAAACAATATGTGCAATACACATGTTCTGTGAATCTTATGGTCTTGTATACAAATACAGTTTCGTGTGTTACAATTTGTGTTGTATTTCACACCTACATTCAAAACAGATTCGCCGTCGGTCAGGTGTGATGCAACAGTATATACCCGATTCGTCACACAATCAACATCATGATTCACGTTCCTGACTGTCACATATACATATACTGTTAGTTCACTGTTGTTACCTGTAAGTAAGTCAAGGGAACTTATCCCGGCATGCACTATCTGTAAATTAGTCAGTTCATATTTCTGTGTGGCGCATGGCGATATATGTGCGTAAACTGCATCGCTAGTTCTGTGAATAAACTCAGTGTGTGATTCAAAATGAACTCTTCGTAGTACTGTATGGGTTATTCTCATTTGCTTTAGTATAAACTAAACATTTCAGGTCATATAGATTCATATCGATTAATCTAGGAATGGTTGGTTTCACTCATGTTCTATTCTTTCCAGGAAATGAACAGGTTTGTCTTTGTACTGTGTGTTTTCGCAATTTAGATTGCGGAAATTATACCATGACATATACGCAAATTGTCTTCTGTTTTCCCAATTACATAAAACGTACACACACAAACATAATCACAAATGTAAACACAGACATGCGTATTAAACTATACAACTCTACAAAGGTAAGGTCACAATACACTGGTTATTAGACGTTCTTCCCAATTTTGTAAAATGCATCGAAATGCATTTTATTTTATCTAAATATTTGAAAAACTGGCATCAGTATAACTTAACTGTCGACAGATGTGACTCACATGATGAATAAATGTGTGATGGAACTGACAAGGATTCTCTAGTCATCCATTGCTTGATCGCCAACTATCATAAACACAATCATAATTGGGTGTCGCGTTTGTCAACGCCGGTTTGTAAGTAGTCGAATCTAGACCAGCAGATCCGTTGTTTGATCATGAGCATCGCTCCACGCTATTGGGGTGACGATACTATTTATTCGCTTTTCAGACAAGCACCGGTTGCTAGCATTCTTAACAGGAATTCCCATGTTTAAGAGACCCAATACCTACATGTAACACACAAACTGACTTGGTTCGTAATGCAATATTCGATTTACGCTCTACTTTCACATATTAACACATTTTCAACGTCCGGTTGAACTAACGTTTGCACTGCAGAGATTTAAAAATAAAATTTATATGGCCCTCTAGAAACAATTAGCCTTCATTCATGTTTAATGTGTTGACAAGTGGATATATAGTTTATATACACTCATTGACTCATCCTACTACTACTACTACTACTACTACTACTACTACTACTACTACTACTACTACTACTAACACTACTACTAATAATAATGATAATAATAAAAATCATAATAATGATCATAAACCGGCAATGTGTGATTTTGCATCAAAATGTAAATATGAAATGTAGATTATGTAATGAATTTAATGAGACAAACACAAACACAGTATCTTAACCGTGTCTTAATTTGAGTACTTATTTCTAACTTTTGTAAAATGACTGATGCGACACACGAAAACATCAAATATAAACAATTTTCTTGGCTATAGGTAATAACCAATGCCCTTAAATTTCTGGATTGCCCACCTGTATCTACAGAAGCAGCAATTGTATATATAACACGGTGCCACTGTTGCTTCAATTGCTTCTTTACAAACGCAATAATGCCACACACTGAGATAACCAAGACGTCTACCCCAGCTATGACCACTGCTATGCTTGACTTATGTCTATCTGCACACACAAAACGACCATACAATGTTTATATAGACCTGTATGAGTGTATATCAGAAGATGGCTTTAGATGATGCATTTCAATCATTTAAAAATCTTCATTTTCATTTCAATATCACGATATGTATGGATACATTGTTGATGTTGCCAGCTCATTTATATAAAACGGTTATTTATGAAATATATCATATTATTCAATTTCTTTTACAATTTTTACATTACCAAGCATGGAAGCTAATTAATTATGTGATCTGTTCTTATTTGAATTCCAGTCTGAATCAGTATCTACTGGAGGGCAATGAATGCAAACGAATGGCTCATAATATGCAATGGAATTGGGAAGCTTTACCTTTTCTCATTCTCTGTGAGGTCAATGCTTGATTTGACGTGGTAAGGACTGGTGTACTACGTCTTGGTTCAGTCCTCTCTGACGTTCCAACTGCAAACAATATGAATGAATGATTGGTTAGTTTATTTAATTGTAAAAGCATCTTGTTACACAAAATGAAACTCCACTTTTGAATTCCATGTGAGAATATAAACCTCAACTTATTATTGTCGTAAGAGGTGATAAAACTGATGGGGGTCAGATTCGGTGAGTTGGTTGATGGCATATCATCGTATCCCAATTGCGTGATGTGATGCTCATGATGTCAATCACTGATTGTTTACAGACCACCGTCATATAACTGGAATATTCCTGAGTGCGGCGTTAAACCACAAACAAAGACAGTATTTGTTGCCCTCAGCCTGTTGGTACAGACTCGCACAACTCAATCTCCCACGCCACGTCGTAGTAGAAGTCTGTCTGGCAGGCTGCAGTACAATATGTATCACAAAACACTTTCAATTTCAGAAAAAAATAGCAAACATGTCATAATTACAACGTTTATAAAAACACAACCGCCCCTAAACATCAACAATCAGCCCATTAGCACGAAAATGTATTATGGTATTCTATATATATCAAATATGACTGGTCTGAACAGCAATAATGATTCCAATCTTGTGAGTGATGAAATTCATTGTGTGAGCTCCATGTGCCTTCGTTGATCCACACAGGGCATGACAAATCGGTTTCACTAACGCATTGACATGAACACGGCTGACAAGCATGTGTTGCAATGTCGAAGTACTCTTCGGGTTTGCAGCTTGGTCTGCTTTCCGATACCCAGGTGAGCAAGGACGGCCAAAGTTCCAATTCGACGTATTTGACGTACATTGCGTGTGAATCGAACTGAGAAGATGCTTAGTTTGTAGTAGTACCCACGTGACAGACGTAAAGTGGTATCATAAACATGGAAATGGAAACAGCCCCATTATACCTAATCAAACTACTGCCTAAATACCAGCCTTCCAGGTCTCTCCATTCTCAGAAAAAACACATGTTACAAGTCCCGGAAACCCGTCCCAAAACCTTTGGTCAGAGATCTTTCCAGTTCTGCGATTCCTCGCGATGGAACAAACTTCCATCTGATCATAAGCTGTCGCCATCGCATTCATCCTTTAAGGCTCATCTGAAACATACCTTTTCAGACAATACTATCAACTCTACTCCCCTTTCATTAGCATTATTTGCTACAACTATGTAGCGCCATGAGCATTGCGTTGGTGAATGGAATCTGGCGCAGTATAAATGGACTTATTATTATCATAACAAAGCGTCGCATTGGCTAACGGTATTGATTCTTTCAGAAGCTTGTTATATCTCAAATGAAAGTGATAACTGAAACAAATTCAGGAGAGTATTTTGTTTCAATGCACATGAAACCACTAGCTTACTAAATTAAAGTCTGCTGAATCGTGCCACGGATTGCCGTGAATAAACTACGTGTCAGGTGGATAGGGATACCCTCTCGTGTGGCAAACGTTTCCCATTGCGTCAATTCGTCATCTATCGAGGAATGAATAGGACAATCAATAATAGAATTTCGGCAACACAGTAACGTTATACTGTGAGTTCTGTAGCATGTATTTTGTAATTGTATTTCAAACATATGTTCCCTACGACCAGACAACTGTAACCTTAGGCGGCATATGCTGTAGGAACCGATTGCCGTGGTTATTTTGAGAAATCCCATTCATGATCTAGGCTTACCGTTAGAAGTCTCAAAGCAGTTTTAGTCTGGTGAAAGTGTTCTTCTTGCCTATATATGCAATCTGGATGACAACGATCGTGAAGACCCTTGTAATGGTCCATATAATTGTCAAGTGTTCAAAGTAGTTTTTTGCCGTTTCCGTCACACGTTTTCATTGCCCATGCAATGTGTTTTGACAGAGGCACACTTGTCCGAAAGTTCACCTAAATCAAGAAACTACAATATAATTTTCATAAATTTACATAAATACTATCACAAAACAGTTTGCACAGTTAATAAATGACATACACATGTTTGCAACTGATAAGCTTTTATTTGTATTTATTATTCCACACACATCTAAAAACTTTTTCTATCATGATGATCATTTGTTGATAATTGCAGTTTTTTTTCATGATGAAGTACACATGTAACATTTTGAAGATTGCCAGCAATGTGTTGAAAGATATGACATTAATATAAATGTTGAAGATGAACACAGCAAAATAAATAGATGATAAATGCTGTTGAATGTTTATTGCAGTATTGTACACAAAAGTCTAAATGACATTCATAAAGTACTTTGCATGATTACCATTTTATTATAAATGTTAAAAAAGAACATTGAAAAACATTGATTCAAACAGTTGAATAATGATGGCGATATTTACATTGCTATATGATGGACGTATATCTCAGAATAAAGATGTTTATGGACATACACTGACAGAAAATGATGAATGATAAGGTTTGGTAATTAAAACACTTGCTGAATGATATTAAATCATCATGATTGTACTATACATGCCCATGTTAAAGAGACACCACCTTGTTAGAAGATGATAAATTATCATGACAACATGCTGATATTGGAGGTTGGCTCTTCTCTAAAGGCTTCTTCTGTGTCTGAAATAAAGAAAAGTGTATTATACACCGCGTCTTGTGTGACTCTTATATATTTAATTTTATGGATCTGTAGTTGTTTTACAGGTTTTATAAACTATAAATGTATATCTTCTTAATATGTAAATTGGTCTCGTCACGACATGACGTTGTGACGTTAATTGTTAACTCACTCACTCACTTTATATGAATAATCACAGTCAAATGCTGGTTCAGGGGAGGTAACTCTGGTCAGCATCATTGTATTACGTTTGCCACACGAAGTTCACAAAAACATTGTACGTCTACTATATATGTCAGCATCATGTTTTTTTAACAAATGTGATGTCACTGAGCTGCACCATACCAAATCGAATTGCATCACTGTAGCATCACTTTACATTTGGGGTACGAACGTTCCTTCTGGACAATGTTAATTATCTCAAACCTGTCGAGTATAATTTGTACTTCCAACTAATTTGGGAGAGCTTGTATACATTAAGCAAAATATCAAAATTTGACCATCCACAAGACTGTATGACTAGAGGAATGATTCCAACTTTCCCTTTATGTCGAGCAATATTTCTGCAGCTATAGCTATAGGGTTTCTGCCTTTCACAACAAAGATTTCAAAGAGCGTCATACGACTCGATTCGATGCAGTTCCCTGTTTTGAATTGTGCCATATGTTCACACGATTTTTCAGGTAATTGACTTGCCGTTGCATGTGTTTGTGACGGGTGCCACCGGTGGTGACCTTTTCGTGAACGCTTAGTATGATCACTATATATAGTTATTCATAAACACATGTTTATGATAAAGTTGGAATCTGCTTTTATCAGAGATTTATTATGATTTTTGAGAGGGGTTTGTCTCTTTTATTTGCAGGTACATGTTCAAGTGGACACTTAGACTTTTCAATTCTTCCTTTCGGATATTTAGCAGAACCATTCATCTGATAATTGTTAGGTGTGGAAATTTAATCACGCCGAATTTGTTAATTAATTCCAAATACATGAGATTTAAGATAAGACATGGCATTACGATAGTTGTTTCAACATGAGAATTATCAAAAGTATACCATCTTCGGTTGTATCCCTGTGTCGGTAGTTAACTGTTATTCTTTGTCTCTGTTGCTTTTTCTTTCTCCTTCCCCAGGCAATGGCAACAGCTACCATCAGTACCACCAGGAAGGTCAGGACAACTGACATCAGACAGACCACGACAACAACATGAGGGGAACCTGGTAAACAAAGTTTTGACATAGGTGAGATAATTGTGGTATCACAATCCGTTTTATATGTCACATACAGTGACTACCTATCCGTTCCGTGCTTCGATGCGATGAATGAGATGAAATTGTAATTCTTGATATATGATATTTGCCATACAGACTCAGTTAATAGCCTCCACGCATCGCACGATTCGCAAACGTTTCTACTGTACAGCTCCAGTGTCATGTTCGCCTTAGCGTCTTTAATAGGTAAATATGCAGAATCGTTTGCACAATGTGTCTGAATCAGAATATTTATCCAAATTGTCCATTTCGTATGGCCAGTACGTCCTGAAGACACAAACACCACTTCCCCAAAACTTGCCGTTATCGTCATCACACCGATGTGTATGTGATTTTGTCTTTCATATTTCAACATACGATTTAATTGGTTGTCTACAGACGTTAAACATCATAGTTACCATCGTGCACAGTTACACCATCTGGAATCCTTATCGTGACAGTTGTCTTCATGTTCTCCGTAGTTCGGTGTGGGAACTGGTTTGTAACCGGAACTGGAATATGTCATCAATATCACTTTATGATTGTTTTAAAACATGTCGCCTCATCACCTAAAGAAAATTGGAAGATACAAACTATATTTATAAGCGCCACAAATCGTTGTACCATACTTCCGTCTCTTGGGGATGTCAATCCTGATCCGCTGTGATTATGTTCCTAGGTTTGTCAGCACCATACCCGTGTTAGTAGATTTAAACAATGTGGCTTCCGCCAACATAGAGCTGACACGCCGCGGCATAACTGAAATAGTGTTCACTAACTCACTAACTCACGAACGACCGAATATTAGAGTTTAGGACAATATTTTCACACTTATATTTTCATTTACCCGGACATAAGTCTCCACACTTCTGCAACGTCCCTCGTACCTCAGCCTGGTGGCACAGATGGGCACAGCTTTGACAGTCTCTGGTGTCAGCATTGTAATAATAATCTCTTTGGCAGTCTGCAGCAAAAACATTTTTTCTAAATACACATACTAGTAACACATAATACAACTGGTCACTATCACTGACGCTTAAAACGAGAGAAGGTGGGGAAGAGAACGTCACGAACATCTCGTGTCTTCAAGATCACGTGGATCGTTTGTGCTCAGTGTGTTTGCTTTTTGTAACATTGAAATGACAAGTGTATATTGCTTATCGTCGCATCAGGATTCTTGCAGCTTTTCGTGCCGACATTTCATCACGGTTATTTACCATGCTTGTGACACTGGTAACGATGCACTACTGTTAGGTTGCCACATATACACATACGGTTATGTTGGGTCATAGATTCAAATCGTATGTCGAAACACAAAATGTCATACTGAACAGTGTATATGTTTATTCATGTAAGGGAGGCAATAGGCCCATGTATATTTCAGTTATAAATAGTAACAGACAATTGAGGCAATTTACATTGAAAACAATACTTAGGGTATAATATTAGGTCTTTGTACGTCATGATAGAACTTCCTTCACATACTTAGCTACATTTCTGAGTAAACAGTCATTTTGGCTATTTAATTAAGAGATTGCTAAAGGTATTAGTACATGGATTGTTATAAAATCTTACAGGAATATACTTCTGTCGTAATGATACTTAAAACGGGCAGACAAACACAAAATATACTTTGTCCTCAATACGACCATTGCTATATAGCCGACAAAAGCGTTGTGAATAAACAATATCGTCTCCTCTGCCCAGATTACTCCGTATAGGCAATTCACTTAATCTCAACAGGCACAGCATACGTCTATGGTCACTAATTCTGAAGGCTGTTACATAATATTCCATATCCAATAATATCTTAACGTGTGAATAATACCTTAATTTACAAGACTCATAAATTTTCATCTGGATACTCTGTTTGTTACAATCCAACAAACGCTGTCTAAACAGCTGCAAGAAATAATTAACATCACCAATATTCTCCTCGTGCCACACATAACCAAATCCATAAATGTCAAGTAAATATTTAACATGAGTTGCCCAAGTAATTCTACCACATTCATCCAGCTTCTTCATTAACAAATAACATAATGTCATATACTGGACTGAATGAACAGATGGTATGGCCTGTATACACAATATGGTCGTTACCGGAAACACCACCCAGTATTATATATCACATGAGGCAACAAGTATGACACATATACATATCAAGTACATTTAAAAGACTGAATAACGTTCCAAGAAGATTTACATTGTGATACAGAGGAGAAAATGTTCAGTACCTTTCATGATTCCCCATTTGCATGACCTCTTTATTTGAAAAAGCCCGCCGTCATGCGTCGAGTACCATGTCACCGATACATTTATCGCCTTGTCTTTGTTTCTATGTCCGGGTCTGTGCACATTGATGTCATTGAGTACATCACCAGAAAGTAAACACTGTATGATGTGATCAGGCGGGATATTCAGTTAGAGTCTCTGTTTGCTTGTAAACGTTTCTTAACCCATTCACCAGTTATCATCATACAAATGTGTGAAGCCCATTTCTGGTGTCCCCCGCCGTGATATTGCTGGAATATTGCTAAAAGCGGCGTAAAACCATACTCACTCACTCACTATCATCATACATGGATAATAAAACTGCGCAAATGTAAAACGTTGACGTCAGGGAATAACCCATCTTGATTACCCGACGAAACAGATTCCATTGGGAGTACAAGGCAAAATAGTGGTGAAAATTATATGAATGGATCACTGAAAATCAGTGATGACGCCAGGTGTTCGAGGAATTGACAAGCATGTCTTACCGTGTCGGGAGCACGATGTATTCTGACAACTTGCATAAAATAGTAGTGTGTTTGTTGCCTGAAAACCGCAGTCCAATGCGTTTATTGTTGCTTTTATTGCAATGCGAATTTTGTTTTCGCTGGATATATCTAGAATTTGTAATTATTGTAGGTCAAAATAAATAATCATATTAAAACATGTAACATGTAAAAGTTACATACAACAGCTAAGGAGCGTGAAACCGTAACAGGCTCATTCCATGGGGGTGGGGGGGGGGGGGGGGCGGGGGGGGGGGGGGGGTGAAAGAGACATGACATTGAAAATATGCAAACAGTGGATTTATTCAGCAAATACAAAAATAACAGTGATAAATACTATTTTATACGTTTTATTGGTGGGTGTTTTTCTTTTTCGAAAAGTCTGATGAAATATTAAATTTCGAATGGTGATTCTCTTTGATTGGTGTGTTCTGCAGTTACATTAAAGTTACAGTTTAAGTGACCAAACCTGACTAAAACAGGCATTATTTTTCTCTTTTTCTCATAATCATTTTAAGTCTCTTCTAACAGCAGTGCCCAAGCATGTGCTTGTGAATCAGACAGGGTCGGTCGAGTAGCCTAGTATTTGAAGCGTTCGCTCTTCACGCCGTAGGCCCATGTTCCATTCCCGACATGGGTAAAATGTGAGAAGATCATTTCTGGTTTCCCCCACCGTGATATTGCTGGAATATTGCTAAAAGCAGCGTAAAACCATACTCACTAACTCACTCACTATCAGACAGTGATGACACCAACCATTCGAGAAAAGGTGAGCGTATCCTGTCCCACTGGTGGCACCCGCCACAAACACAGAAAGGATCTACATGTACTTGTGAAGTAAACATTTACTTATGATGCATTTTAATGTATGACGTGATATATGCATGGACATTCTTCTGACTGACTTCACGCGAGGCATGCATAAAATATAAATATATGTATTAAGACTGCATTCTGATTTCTAATGTTGAAATACATGTATCAATAATATTTTCATGATTTGGAGGTTGTTGTTTTTGTTAATGTACTCCTATTTATCATCGGATTTCTGTTGAATGATTTCTAGATTTGTAGATTGGTATTAAACCGGGTTCCCGGCGAGGTTTCGCGCTTCGTCTCCATATTTCGTCTGTTCAGGAAGTTTATAATTTCTCTTTTTAGGAGAACCACTAACGGTACCAGGGAAATCAGGATGATTAAAGTCGCTAGAATAATGACGGCATATTGCGCTTCAAGTGAACCATCTGCAAAGAAGAACACAGGAATAATGGAACGCCGGAGACAGTGGTGCGTCACTGACAGGTGAAAGATGAAAACGAATGAGTATAAGATGGATCAGATACAAGTATAACTAACAATGGAATGCGTAACACATAGCAGACATGATTCTGTATCAACTTTAGAATTGTCACTTTTTAACACATACTTTAATAATTAAATAAAAGCGACAAACCCCTTTTCCATATTCATAAGAAATGAATGCCCCAAACAGAGTCGGTTGTCCGATACCGACTCTATCATGAGCATGAAATAATGACGAGAACAATGCTATCCAACGCAATTTGGAAATATTCTTGATAACTTGACGGATATCATTTTCAAAAGACAGTCAATCCACATTAACAGTTTAAAATAAGCGTTAATTTTACTTTCTTCCCAAGATTTAAAAAAAATAATTATTTGTTCACTTCAGCGTAGGATCAAAAGGTATATTTTAGTGTTTGGAAAAGTATAACTTACCACTACTCAAGCTGTTGGTTGATTGCTCGTAACTGGGTGTGAAAACTGTCGTAACTGGATCAGTCGCGATCGGTGCCTCCGTGACAGGCGCATTAACAACCACTACAACACAGAAGATACCATGTTTAGAGTTAAACGCAACAAAAGCCCTTCCATGATCATAAAGAATATCTGCTAACATCAGAGTCCATTCCACGATTCCAACTATATCAGAAGTACGTGTAGTGATGATACCAGGCTCCCGAGAGTCGTATCCTGTCCCATGGGTAGCACCCGTCACAAACACACGCAAAAGCAAGTCAAATGTTCACCTAAAAAACACGACGAAATCGTTTAAGTGACACGACTGTAATCACGATGTATGCATCCGACTATTTGTCTAAAAGTCTTTAACACAAGGTTTGGAGTGTCGTTGTCACTAGATTAATTTATTTAATATATTTTATAATACCTGGACAAAATCTTCGACAGAGTCTGACTGTCCCCCTGACAGTTGCTTGGTGGCATAATTCATCACAAGGTTTGCAAGTCCCAGACAATGGTTCCAAGTAAAAGTCTTTTGGGCACTCCGACATTTCAATCCCCTTCTTGTACACACTGGTGACAAAAGTGAGACTTTAGATATAGAACGCCCTATCTAATTTTTTGGCTCCCCAATTTAGAGGAGTGAGTGAGTTGGGTTTAACGCCACTTTTAACAGTATTCCAGTTATATCACGGCGTGTCAGCTTAATGTGGGAGGAAAGCCCGAAGTGATGCAGGTCTCAGACGTTTACCACTTCGGTGAAACCCACGAGCACGGGTATGGTGCTGACAAACATAGTCGGGGCGAACCGGGATTCAAACCCACAATCATAGGTTTCTGGCGTGGCCAAGGGACGCAACTCTGCACCCGTGCCCCCCAATTTAGAGGAATAAATCATATGTCTTGTCACTTGAAACAGTAACAGAAACAATATTCTGCCTAGCACAACTCTCCCATGAATATTTAATTGTCCGTCTTTCAGTTTGAAAAAGTGTGGTACACAACACCATAGAGGTGGGGATTGACATCAGACATTATTATACTACTCAAAAGAAGCTAAAGAACACCATATTATTTCATATTACTACAGTTAATCTGTCATGACATGTCAGGCGTTCTCAAACTTTTATTGAATAGTATATATGGTATATATGTAGCACGAGTGGCCAAATAGTCTAATTAAGGCGCCGAATCACGGCTCGCCCCGAATATTCCCGTACTCGTGGGTGTCACTCATTTCCTATATAAATGAATCCTTCTTTGATATAAAGTTGAAATTATCATTTAATAAGTTATAACACGAATTATCTTATGACATCAAGGAATCGACCGTCAGATATCACTAGTTCGCTTAATGGTCAAAACAACATGTGTTTACTGTACGTGTATCTGAAGACATAGACTACTTAGTCTGTACTATAGAAAATATGTACATCGTTGTTGTACATCCATGTACATTTTAAGTAATCATCATTTGTACCTGATCCATTTCATATAATTGAATAAAATAGGTTTTAAACCAAAAAAGAACATCAATTAATGCCTTGGCCTGTACTCACCTACAAGTACGTCAGTCGTAATAACAATAAATCTTCTAACATGTATGGTTTGTCCCATTCATAAATTAGTTGACATAAGGGAAGTTGACGTCACTCGAAAATCCGACTCGTGATCACTTCCGCCTTGTACAAATGTCCATAGAGTGTGTCATAAGCATGTGTTTATGAATCACTATGAAATAGTGATGATATCAGGTTGTTCGCGAAGTTTAACGCGCCACCAACCATCAGAAGTGAAGTCGCCATCCTTGAGTGAGTGAGTGAGGGAGTATTGCGTTAAGCCGCATCACCAGTATTGTAACTATTCGCGGCGAGAAAGCAGTTTAGTTTTTTCTGTGGAAGAGAACACAGACAAAAAGTGACAACAAAGATCACTAAAACTTCAATCTTTTAGCACAGTTAACTGTAAAAAGGGACAATTTAAAAAATCTACATCTTATCACAGTTTAATTTGCTTCAAATATGCTAATATAAGTGGTTGGAAACGGTATAAAAAAAAGATCAGAAATAGTTTGAACATTATATAAAACGTTGACGAATCCACACATTTCAACAAATGATTGGTTGTTTGGTTGGTTGTTTAACGCCGCACTCAGCAATATTCCAGCCATATGACGGCGGTCTGTTAATAATCGAGTCTGGACCAGACAATCCAGTGATTGATATCATGAGTATCGATCCACGCAATTGGGATCGATGACATGCATCAACCAAGTCAGAGAGCCTGACCACCCGACCCCGTTAGTCGCCTTTTACGACAAGCATAGTCACCTTTTACGGCAAGCATGGGTTGCTGAAGACCAATTCTACCCCGGAATCTTCACGGGTCTTCAACAAATGATCCTTGACAGTCCGGGGACTATAATATTATGACAAGAAATACATTGAGGGGGACTCTCTCCCTTCAGTAAGAAGGATTGACTATAAATGACAGAGTCCAATGCGACATCTTCGTATCACAACTTCATCCTGACGTCGTAACTCAGTCTGGGCATGACACCCGATTAAGGGTTGTTGGGCATGAATAACTTTGTTATTCTAGCCTTGCTTCTCTTGAGCCAACGTCACTGGGAAGCCAACAAAAGAGGATGTCATTGTTAGCCAAGGACAAATTCAAAGGATATTCCAACATTTCGAAAACTAAAACAAATTGGTCAGTTTTACGGTTGTTGATTGTCTGTACGCATCATAAACTGAAAAAAATGATGAAATTGCTCTCGTAAGAACGTTATTGCAAGGCTGATAATACAGCTTTTGTCTCTGCCCTAAAAATCGAACTTCCATCAGTTAAATGTAATGATACAGTACCACCATTTGCGACACTTTTTCATAAATTTTTTTTTCTATCAGTGTATGTGTTTGTACATGTGTAGCTGGTATCGAGTTCGGTAAAGAAAGTCCCTGTCATCAGCGACTCAAGGGCGGGCAGCTCATCGCTGTATGGCTATTTTGAAGTGTGATACGTGTGGATTATGTGGTTTACATCACTCCCTGTTTTAAATTATGCATAATCAGTATGCATACGACCTGGGTTGGGTCAAAGGACATAGTCCAAACAAATGGGTTCTTTTGTAAAAAAAAATCGAATGTAGGTAGGGGATATTCCACTTCAAAAGCATTTCAGAAACTATCATTAAAAAGTTAACATGTACACTCACGAGTAGCCGTGACATAACGCAACGAGTCCTGTATTCGATCAAGCGATGAAATATCGTGCTTAGATTTGCATAAGTAAACAGTCGACAGGGATAACGAGATTTTCCGAAACCGCGATAATATAGCGTCATGCTATATATCAATATTATTTTCATTCATTCGAATGCTAATAAGTTATTAATCAGAAAATAACATATAGATGAATAAAACAAGGTTATTTATTGTTATTGACGTATAGAAATGAATACAATACAGTGAAAATTGCCTCTTGTACAAAGATTATATAGGTCATTATAAAATGGTTAACAAGGATATTTAAACAGTAATAAAAATAAAAATTCAATATTCAGGCTTTTGTATTTAAGAATTGTTTGTATATATTTTTTCGGTTCATTGAGGTATGAATGAAAAATCGGATGTGCAACCTGTATGAATCCGCGTAGCGGATTCTTACAAAATTTTGCACATCGTTTTTCGATTCATACCTCAATAAACAGAAAAAAATACACAAGCAATGCTTATAATATAATTCGACAACGTAAAACATGTTTTATCTACAAAAGTTTAACCAAAAACAGTTGTATATATCAAAACAGACAAAAATAACGAGATTGGTAAACATTCCAGGTGTAGGAATACATACTGTGGCGTGACATGAATCTGGTTTAATTTATGCACATAACTTGACACGTAATATTGGGATTCTCCGACATTCCGCAGTAATAAATGTAGTGCGCCTCGGTGGGGGTGGCTTAATTTTTTACATTCATTGGGAATGAATGCAATAACACGTGACCAATTCAGCTAATCAGAATGCAGGAATTTCAATGAACACAACGAAAATTTAATTATTTCAAAATTGTAGGTGTACATTAAATTGTATGGATGTAAATATTTCAATAACAGTTATTGCATTTATCGCAATGAACTAAATGTTATTGTTACAGTATCAATGATCTAGATTTATTTTCAAATATAAAGACTTTTAACTATATAACTAACAATCGTTGGTGACATATGTTTTGAAAGGTTTTGTCCGAGAGGTAGTGATCGTAAAAAAAATTAAGTTATTTCTTAAACAACATATAATCTAGTTTTACCTATGTTTCTTAGCCTATGCTAAACAATAGTCGTGAAAATTTTCACGATGACATTCAGGAGGAATATTCCTCTGAATCAAGAGGAATATTCCAGAGAATATGAACATGTTAAAACGTCAACGCCTGAGATTCTATGTTCGAGTATTTGCTGAAACTGATTCCACTGTGTGTAAAAGGCAAAATAGTGTTGACATCAGCTGTTTGCAAAAAAGGTATACCAGCCCTTCTCCACCGGTTGCACCATTCAATCACAACGTGTGTTCCATAAAAAAAAGTAAAACTTAGAGTAACGACACACAAAACGCAATGGCATAAGCTCACTTGAACCTTTGGTTCAAATGAGCGATACATTATACATCCATTTAAATGATACAAAAAAGACTATACCGATTGCAAGGGGCGGTTGCTATTGGAAAGTAAATGTTCATTATATGATAAATAACAAGTAGTAATTTCGGGTACAAATAAACATGATCCGTTACACGGTAATATAGTCTGTGGTGAGAGTTTGTTGAGACCATGTTGAGGATTGACTCGATCGTGATTTCAATGGCAGGAACGAGTTATTGATGTATTTTACTGATTTAAGGCTAGGTGACGAAATAAAAGAGATTAAGATGCGTTAAAGCTATTTCTCAGATGTAATTATACTTGTACAAGTACATAGGATTATCAGGTTATTTTATGTGTGTAAGGAACGCATGCGTCATACAAGGTTGTAGCTGTAAAATTAATATATACTCCAAAAGAACACAAAGATCATGTGAAAGTTCCCTCGTACGTCGTAACAGAATAAGGACACGACATGCATCAGTACTGCTTAGGTCATGACTTTTGAAGTCTGTAATGAGGCAAACGTAATCTCACATCTAGCATGCCAGCTACGTGTGGTTGTTGGATTCTTGCAGTTTGTACAATAACTACATTATTTCTCTCTTCTCGATATTGGAATTAAATGATGAATGGTATCTTTTACTGTCAGTTGGGTATCTGCGAATCTTCATTTTCACGGTCGTTGAGGCGGAGCGTTTCTTCTTTCCCCCGTCCATTGGAGCTTTCAACCTCCACCACTGAAATTCAACACATTAATTTCTTGTTCATATTTATTTTTTATAACTCAGTGTACACAACGCGATTATGTTTTTTTTATAATTATCAATACTAAAATTTAAATTAACATTCTACTTATAATTAACTATAACCAAAAGGAAACATTTGGCCTGTATGTGCATGCTTATATATTTCATAATTTACTCTTACATAAGTTACTCTTTTCTTCAGGTTTCAATACCCAATGAGAACATCACTCTCTCGGTGATTTACACGCATGTATACATTTCAGATTGTATATTAAAGGGTTGTTTATTAAACAAAACATGATACCTTCGGATGCCTTGAAGCCACAGCAATCTCCATAATATCTACGGGTTCCAATTTCCCACAAAACAGTAACAGCCAACACGGTGGTGCAAAGAAGTATGATGATTGCACCTAATATACATATACTTGTGGTGCCTGCACCTGCTAATCAGATGTAAATAAAACAATACTATTAGAAAACGTCTTTGACAAATGGATGTTTTATTTGTCGGAAATTTTGGTCAGAAGTATCAACGTCTATCAAAAAACTGTGATTAGTCTTCAGGAAAGGTATGAAAATGAATTTCCAGAAAATTACCAAAACCAGAAACAGGCGCAGAGACGTACTGATTTGTACGCAAAAGGCACCAGGCTATTGTTTGGATTTATTTGAAAATCATCATTGTAGAAAATAGAACAGGAATCAGGTTTTACCCACATAACGAAGGTGTACAAGGGACTGGGGATTATCTTCACCGAGGAATAAATGGTGTTAGCTCCTATTGTCAGCTCTCATTTACCAGACAGAGACACTACATAATCCCGAGCATCGAGTAGGTTATCAGTTACTTATAGACGGATGTTTGTAAAGAAAGAAACTAAAGAAAACTGTAAAATGTTATCAATTTGTGACGTCATTATAAACCATTGATAACGTCTCATCGTGCTATTGCCATCAATGAAGCGACGTGACGTTATATCGCTTCAACTGACCAGTCAACATTGAGAATTGCTGAAATACACATGTGCAAATATCGGAAAGATATTACGATCGATCTTTTTAAAGTATGGATAATATTAAACTCATATTCCTTGATAAACGCTTTATCTTTTTCTAGAAAACGATGTTGAGACTGTTTCTTTAATATTTTGTAACTTTTTAACTAATGTGGCCAATAGATGTCTTTGTATAATCGCAACGTTTTGTGGAAAAAAGAGGCGCCGCTCCAACGACAAAGTAATTTATTTTCTGTATAGTTTTGGCCAAATTACAATTCTTTTCTTATGCATGTAATATTTATCTTGGACACAATATGTGGATGTTATAACGTTTACCTGCATTTGTAACGTTGTTCTTTGGACTGACTGCTACAACATGTCGCGTTACGTTTTGAGTAGTACCGGTCGTTGTGGTTGTGACAGCATTGTCAACTGAGGACAAATGTGTACATAACAGCTAATACACTCATATTCAAGTATGTTATATTAGTTTAATATAAAACAAAAACAAAAAACGTTGAATTCTGGTTTTCTGGTACTTAACACAAATCGAATGTATTTTGTCTCTGAGCAGAATAAAGGAGTCTCAAATCAGAATCTAACGAAATTTGTTGATACATATTAAATATATATTTCATATATATGTAAATGACATGAAAATAAATATCTTGTGAAAACAACAAATTGATTACTATACGTTGGACACGAAATGGTGGACGACTCCATGATACCGTGTTATTTGTAAATAGCGCCAAAACATTTTGACAACGTTGGTGTATATGTAGCAGTGATTCGAAAACAGACTCACCTGGACAAAGGCAGCGACACTTGTTCTCTGTACCTCTGACTGTTGCTTGATGACACAATTCATCGCATCTCGCACACCGCCTCGCATCGGCGTCGTAGTATTTATCGATAGGGCAGTTAACTGAAACAACAAATATTTTGGGTGAAATATGAAACATACGTGTATATATAGATAAGACACATGCTTGTGACAAGCATTGATAAAAACCGAGTGAGTGCAGTATTCCAGTTATAGCATGGCTTTTTAGTTTGATGTTAGAGTAAAACATGTAGTTTTGTCATGGAGAAACAATAGAATCTGTTGATTGTACTTCCGGATTCGGGGGGGGGGGGGTCGGGTAGTCGCCTAGTAGTTAAAGCGTTCGCTCGTCACGCCGAATTCCCGACATGGGTACAATGTGTGAAGGCCATTTCTGGTGTCCCCTGCCGTGATATTGCTTGAATATTGATAAAAGCGGCGTAAAACCATACTCACTCACTCACTTCCGGATTCGAGTACTTTCTCCATGTTATGGCAGATTTATCTATATATTTCATAATAACCTATAATTGCTTCAGCTTTACTTGTTTAATATAAAAGTAACAAAAACCCTTTCCATTTTCACAAACACATGCAAAGGCTACCTGAAAAAAAAGGTAACATATGGTACAAGTCAAAATAGGGAATTGCACTGGACATCATGTTTGTCACTGATGCGTCAAATTTGGAAATGCCCTCCCCCATGTCTACCATACAAAGTTTAGAAAGCTTTACTTCTGAGCAGGAGTCTTATGACGCTCTTTGAAATCTTGGTAGAAAGAGCATGCTCAATTGTATCTCAAAAGTTTGTGAAATGTAAACACCTAAGTCTGGAGCTGCTGGAATATTATATAATTACTTGACATGAAGGAAATGTTGACTGTTGGAAAGTTAAAGTCATCCCTCTTGTCTCGAAGAGAGTGTTTTGTCACTCTGAATCTTGATGCATATGACACAGATGAGGCGGTTTCACTGGTCTCCTTTATTTCTAGCTTTAGGTGGGTAAATCAGTGGAAGGGAATTGACTATTCGATTGGTACTGAACGAATATCATCGATTCACCTGAAGCTTAAGTTAAACTTCTTGGCCATATTACCGTGTTTTGACTTTGCCAATCCGAGCAGAGATTCCGATTCATATGCACAAACAAACATGATCTGCAAGAAGGGGAGCACAATTGGTGCCCATGGGGATGTCTACTTCTTGCCTAAATATCTTACGCCCATAATTTACATCGATGTTAGCAAGAGGAAGTCAAGCATTACGTATATTGTTTTCTCATTAAACCTCAGATAACATTTGCTTTCATTTTTCACAAATTGTCCTGATCCTCTGAATATAGATACGTTACTGTGTTCACCATATTTTGTAAGAGCCCCATGGGTCAAGGAATGAAGTTTTGCCTTAAGTTTTTCATGTTGGATTGTTGTTAAAAAATCAAATATTTTGACAAAATGAAACTTAGTTCTTTTCTGAGATTGCAAAAAGTCAAGCAAATCCTTTGAGTGAGTGAGTGAGTGAGTATGGTTTTTCGCTCCTTTTAGCAAAAGTCCAGCACTATCATGGCGGGGGACACCAGAAATGAGCTTCACACATTGTACACATGTCGGGAATCGAACCCGGGTCTTCGGCGTGACGAGCGAACGCTTTAACCACTCGGCTACCCGACCGCCCGCAAATCCTTTGAGTTCTATATACTTTCTGTGACTATTACGGCTTTGTTTCGGCAGAATTCTTCCTCTGTTAACATACTCTGCCATTGACAACATCACGCACTGACAATCAACAGGTTCCTCTTCTCTTTTGACCCATTTTAGGCATCAATTTTAAAGCCCCACCCTGACTATAAATAGCCCGCAAGGTGGCGGTGTTTCAGTTTCGAACAATGACTGACAATGCAAACACAACCGAGTGTCGGGAGAAGTGTTTTGAAAACCATTCGGGAACCAGATCACCACTGACCGTCAAACTTCGTATCAACTTGAATGACAAAACCATGGATACAACAAATGGCTCCATATCAAGATATAAGTCAATAAATTTTCTGTAGTTTTATCATAAAAAAATCGAATCGATCGTGTTTGGCGTCTGCATCAATCACAGTGGGCGGAGCTTATTTACGGTTGCGCTATAAATAGCAAAGCACATGGTACATGTGACACATTCAATGCTTTTGTGGTCAAAGTGCATTGTGTTGTATATTTTTACGGCAAAACAGCAGGAGAATATCAGTTTTGGTTGATGTAACAGTAACGATACTTAAATACGAAATTGACGACGCGATTCTTTCAGTTCAATCCGAAAATTACAGATATTTGTTTAGTTTCGGTCATTTGCATTCAACAGTTAGATTTGTGCCACACACTAATCAGTTTATATTCATAAAACTTAAATCATTACACAGATTTTTCAACTAGTGTTTAGGAAGGGGCCTAATTTGAAGCACCAGAAGTTGCGCCAATATTTCTCAGCTTGACTACAATAGATGAATATGTCATGTGCATCAACATAACAATGCACATAAGCAACTGGTAAATAAGTAACGAAATATACTTGATGTTTTGACCTACAGAAGGCGTATCCAGATAATATTGTACTTACGATAAACGAAAACTCCAATACACATACTCCAAGACAACTTTAATTATGAATTTCCTTTTCTTTCACAGAATTTTCACACACAAAACTGAGTTTGATCATTAGATCCACACTTGTCCCATGTATTTTGTGTTCGGGGTATTTGGATATACTTCGCGCACAAGTTTTTAAATACAATCTGGGATCCCTTTCCCGTTTGGTCCACACCGATCCTTCATCTGCTGCAACGTTTAATTCCGTTTCTTCAAGTCAAAGTATCTACGATCTCTCCAAACAGTTCGTTTATTTAGCTCAGTCCAGAAGCAATGTGTTCGAATCGACGAATTTCTGCAACATGGTGGCCGCACCATTCCCTAACTGCGATTGCCTGTGCCGTGTCACGCATGATTGACAAAAAAAAGAGTGAACATACATATTCGGCTTCATCTGGTTCCACAATGAAATCTAGCTGTGACACTGACAACAAGTTTTAGAAAGTGATAAAAGAAATACACAGTGCAATCCAAAAGTACCACGTACAGGATATTTTTTAATAATAATATTCACGAAAAAAGATCTTTTCTAAAAATGCAAATTAATTTATTAATTTATCCCAAGGTCGTAACCCTGATCCCGTGGTGGGTATTTGGAAGGAATCTTTGCGATGACGCCGTGAATGAAGCCGTGTGTTTTACATTGTTGAATTCAACTGCCCAGGAAGATTGTTGAGGCATTGACATTATGACAGATGTTCGTCATGGATGGAGAAAAAATGTATCTGAGAGAAACATTGTTGCTTTGAGCTTCGAGACAAAACATGTGTTAATGCCGAGGTAGCCAGCGACCTGAATGTAAGCTTGATGAAAATATTGTTGACACCCATTTTCACGCACATGACAGAATTAATGTGAACAAATATTCATCTGAACATCGTTTCGAAGTCTGTGAAGCTGTCCGTATTTTAATATATTTATCTCCATTCCGACGTAAAATAATATAATGTCTTCGTGTGTCAATTTTGCTGCCGCTGTGGAAAATTGCGCACCGATCAAATAAAAGAAATACTACTAGATCTGCCATTGCACCGTCATAAAAGAACCAGGTCAACTTTATCTTTGTTCTGTTGTTTATTAAACATTCGTTTCCGAAGCAAAGCGAATCGATCTACAACATAAATTAATTCATAGACTAGATTCTAGTACCAAGTGTTAAACTATTTTTAAAATGTCATAAAATAACTTTAAAATATTGAAAGACATTTTTTGATAAGTAATATATTTTATTTCGTCCGCCCGCTCTCTTGTTAGTTGAGGCTTGAGGGGAGAAACACATACAAAAAATATGGATGGCCTTATGCAAATAACACTTGGCATGCCAATCAACAGGGATCTGGGTCACTGGGATCCGCCAAGTTTCACGGATCGAGTTACTTCGGCATGAGGAGCTTCATCGGACAAGTGAGACTTTGCCAAAATACATTGCTACTGGGCAATGAAAAAACGGCAAGAAACTACTTTGATCACTTGAAAATATTTTTGACCATTACCAGGGTTTTTTAAACGATCGTTGTCATCTAGATTCCAGATGAGGCAAGACGATCATAACGAAGAAAAACATTGTTGAAATCACCGATTACCGTATATATTGTGAGAAATGATATTTATAAACTGCAGATATACCGTACACCACAGGATAACGATTGGTGCCCCAACAAGTATTATGTTTCTTGTTCATTTACACTGCTCATATGCATCACGACAAACGTATTTCGTTCTCGTCCAGAGATCTAGAACTATAATTTGTGTGTTGGACTGTGTTGGATAAATCGTGGACATTCTACGGTATCATTTTATGAAGATGTGAAGACGACATGGTAGGTAGGTTTTGAAACCAAAGATATACGCGTTTGTTGAAAAGTCTTGGAATCGTTTGATAGATATTTATATTACCATTAAAACTTACGTCCTTGTTGTCAAACGGACCACGTGGGAGGGTGTTTACATGACGCCACCCGTTTACGCATGAACCAATGAAATGTATGTGTTATCATGACGTCATATTGACCTGTCAGATCACTTGTATAAGCTCCGCCCACTAGACTGCGGTAGTTACTACCGCAGATGGGGCTTTAAAGTTGTGATCCCAACTGGTAGGAGGGTGCTCATGATCAACAGTAGTGAATAAGGGTTTTACTTGGGTGTCGATTGATCTAAATATTATGATATATATTGTATCTAGAAGGGTGTCCATGTTTCAAGTGTCACAATGTTATTCACTTTCTCTCTGAAACGCGGATCGTCTACGCGTCAATATTACATTCAGGAGACATTACGGTATGTTAAGTTTTTACTAACGGGGGTTACTTAGAGGTTCCACTACTGATTGTGGATGTATCACCAATATTGCAAATAGACGTAGTCGGAATGTTTAAAAAAATGGAGTGTCCCACAAAACACTTGGTGTGACAACTGTTGTTCCTAACACACCACCAGACATTTCCCGAAATGTAAGTACAAGTACGTACCCGAGCTGTCTTTCTCCTCTGTACAATGGATCAAAACAGTTGGCTTCACTGGAATATTAAATGATAACAAGCAGCAAAACGACAACGTAATAGCAGTACATGTAGGTGACGCCATGTTGAATACAAAGACCTGATTTCCCACAACATTCTGCATTTCACTTTCGTTTTAGGAAACATGTTAGATCTCCCTACAGTTATTCAGGGAAAAAGACGTCACACACCAACTTTAAACATTCGACATCATGTTTGCTCAAACGCAAAATCTGCACGAGTTCATTTTGTCATACTTTCATTCCTGTCTAACATTTCACTCTACATGGAACAAACCTGATATCTTTGTAATTTATTGGCTCAGTTCTTGGAAATACAGTGATACGGGCTCAGTCTCGACTGTCGTGCCTGTAGATCACGGAGGTAAACCTTCATGTAGATATAGAGATTACTACACCAGTGTCTGTCAGATACCATTGATCTTACAACGAGTTGTTTCAAAACGTATCTAACGAGCGAAAGCGAGTTAGATACGCTTTGTAACAAAGAGTTGTAAGATCAATGGTATCTGACAGACACTGGTGTAGTAATCTGTTTCTTAAACACCCAAAAATCGCACCTTTTTAGCATCGAACCGATGATTGAAGGATCGTATACACATAAATGTGTCACTTAAGTAATCAGAAACATTCAGACAATCTGCGTACTGTTATTTGTTTACCATGTTTTCAAGTGTTACAAAGAGAATTAGTCGGAAATGCAGATAACATCCGTCATCGTTGTGCGTGATTTAGCGTCCGTCATGGCGTCACACAGGACGGAAACTTTCACGGTTTCTGTTGAATTTACCACATCATTGTAATGTATGTATGTATAATTCCATAATTAGTGCAACAATACTCTTCCCATGAATATTCTCAAACGCGTGATCGAGCCAATGTATGCAACAATTAGACCAAAGTACGTGTAAAATCTGAATTTTGCTTTGTTTACATTTCAGCAAGTACAGTTTTCCGAGCACAGTTTTCGTTTCCATGCCTAATTTATTTCGCATGTTTCATCTAGATAATTTGCATTGGTGACAAAGACCATTTATCCATTGTTTCGAAAATGTATGAGGAATTCAGGGATGCATGTATAGCAGCTGAGTTTGAAATATACCTGATCGAATAGGTGTCTCATAACCGGCATTTTGTAAACACAATCCAAAAATGGCGGAACGTACATTTCGGCGTTCGTGTATGCGTATTTTCCAAAACATTCTAAACGATTCAAGGCTTATCAGCGACGTTTCAGAATTATCATAAGTGATTTGATACCCGTGATCGCTAATACGCTATTTTCTACTTTAATTATTCGAGTAAATGTCCGATATTTAGATTTCTAAACACACAGTAAATGTTTATATAACGCCGTGAATTGTGATTTGGCGAGATTTACAATGTACCTAATTTTCAGAAGTCACTTTCAGTAATTTTGAATTGCCTAAAATGACAGTAAATGAAAAAACAGAAGGGGGAATTCAAAACTGCGAAGTGTTTTAGTCTGCGTGATGTATTTTGAATTTTATTCGATTTCGAAGTGAGGGTTGAAGAGGAGGGACATATGTGTCGCTGTGGCATCCAGGGGGTTTACACTCTGAAAAAACCGATAATGTTGACATGATAACAACAGATAATGTAACTGATAATAATAACAAACTCGCAGACGAGGACGAGATTGTTTATTTTTATTATTAATTACACGGTCCTGTTGTTCACTACAGACGTAGGTGAACATTCGACTGAAGCACGAGCAACTTGTGAATGACTTACACTCAGGAAAGTTGTCCGTCATCATCTGACCCCAGGTCATCACAACGGAGTAGCCAATCACGGGCCTGGAATTCGATCTCACACATATGTTTGATACCAGTTATCTCAAATGGGTTTCCCCCCTACACAGGTGTGTCCGTCATCATCTGACCCCAGGTCATCACAACGGAGTAGCCAATCACGGGCCTGGAATTCGATCTCACACATATGTTTGATACCAGTTATCTCAAATGGGTTTCCCCCCTACACAGGTGTGTCCGTCATCATCTGACCCCAGGTCATCACAACGGAGTAGCCAATCACGGGCCTGGAATTCGATCTCACACATATGTTTGATACCAGTTATCTCAAATGGGTTTCCCCCCTACACAGGTGTGTCCGTCATCATCTGACCCCAGGTCATCACCACGGAGTAGCCAATCACGGGCCTGGAATTCGATCTCACACATATGTTTGATACCAGTTATCTCAAATGGGTTTCCCCCCTACACAGGTGTGTAAGAAAACCATTTCCTTCATATGAGATCCGGGGTAGAAAAGGTCTTCAGCAACACATGCTTGCCGTAAAAGGTGACTATGCTTGTCGTAAGAGGCGACTAACGGGATCGGGTGGTCAGGCTCGCTGACTTGGTTGACGCATGTCCTCGGTCTGTCAAGCACAATCGCCTTTTACGGCAAGCATGGGTAGCTGAAGACCTTTTCTACCCTGGATCTTCACTGATGCTCGCCGCTAAAATATTTGCATATATCATAGACCTGTAAAATTCTTTTAAATATTTGAAGGTGTTAACGGTTGCTAGTTCTGTAAGTGAAAACTGAATAAGAGTGTGAATGTAAAAATACTTTGGCCGATTAAAATCACCTATAGTATAATAAAGCTTTTCAAGCTACACTATGTGTGCATACTGTATTTGCACATATTATCAAAGTAGGGCAGCATTAACAAGCAATGTAACAATTGAATTTTCTTCAGAAGTGTTCATATTTATCCATATATGTTTAAGTGAAGCCCCGGAAACGTATCAGGCACACTGTGCTTACCACTGTTAAAACTGTCAAAACTGAAAATGACCGTGGTACCACCACTTATTAGCTTCGTCTCAGAAACCATTCGAAACCACTAGATTTAAAATAGGAAAATTTTGATTTCAAAACAATCAGTTTGACCAACAACTATTTCTCAAAACACATCTCGTCGCCTCACCCGTTTCCCACCCAACTCGATATCTGGACAGAACAGTATCAAATTCCATTCATAAAGTTTAACTTTGCAGCATACACAACCTCTTCTTTTCGGGAATTAGGCCGGGATTCCTATAGTCAACTGTATAAATCTGTTTGGGCACTAACCCAGTGTTATATAATGTATGGCGTGATTTGCATTGGTAAGTTCGTTATTTAAACCATAAACATACGTGTACGTGTAGAGTCAACAGATATTGCTGAGTGCGGCGTTAAACAACAAACAAACAAACAAGAGTAAACAGGGTTATTTTATTCTTCTAGAAACACTATATATGTACACACATGTATGTAAACTTTGATAAAACTAAACAACTTAGTAACTACATCAAAGCACAGTTTTCGACACATCACATGTTCTCACCTGCACCTAAAATGATCACCTACCATGAGGTGGTTACATGGTAAAACACTACACCAAGAAATATTTGTAATGTAAACACTACCAGTAGATTCTGTATGCATTTCAGTTCTGTCAAGAAGCACTGGTATCTATTAATACAAAATGGCAAAAAAGATCGGACTAACTGAATCAATAACAAATACGTATGTGTTAGAACGTGAGTGTATATGATATCATATGAAAATGACTCAATCTCCTTCACAGCTGTGCTACTTGACCCTGTAATGCATATCCGCTTTGTGACGCATTGTGGGTCCTTACACTTCAGCTTTGTGTACCAAGGGACACAACTCGTACTGTTCTTCTTTCTCACAACACTCTTATTTCATCGTGTTATTCGCTGTCTCTCCTCGGCCAGCGCCGTTCGTCTCGTGTGATGTCGTCTCTGGCGAGACTGGTATTTGTCTTCACACCCTTTGACTTGGTTATCTTGCGACTTAGCCGCCTTCTCAACATGCTCTAAACATGTTCTTCCTCTTCGTCGTCTCCTTCAACCAATTTTACATTTTTATTTCAAATAGTAATGGAATGTTCTTCGTCATCCTCATCACACGTCTTCAATGGGTGTTGCAATTGGACCACGCCCAGTAGGTCTGTATATGGGATCTGAAACAAATATATGCTATTAAATTTCAAGTGAAGTCTTATGACGTAAAACAAAAATGATTGAAATGTTTAATTAGGCATATATAAACAAGAGTGTGTTTATTAATTTATGAAAACATACTATATGTACTGAGTCGTCTCAGTTATAACTCACTTAGGCTCTCCCTGGTCTCAACGTCCTCTTGGACCTGTGTAGGATGTCTGGTAAATAGGTGTCTTGAAGCAAGTGACTTAATGGTGCCAATGCAGCCCTTCCCACACACGGCTGTCAGGGCAACAAGACCTAGGGCACATAGTGCCAGGAACCCCACGCCTATCCAAACTCCAGTTGTTAACGATCCATAGTTACTTTCTGAAACAATGGAATACATATTACAATACTAAAGTGTTGCATCCTCACAAGGCGAAACACTCTCCGTTGGTAACTAAAGACTTTCAACATAAGGGTTACCAGGCAGTTCAAGATACCACTGATCATGATATTGTGAACCCTTTGAACAATGAACAAAGGTATTTATTCTGGTAGTTAAGGGGCGACCATTTGATATCCAAAGTAAGAAATGTGTTGTGGGTCCTAAATGACTGCATGGATCATCCTTTCAGAGGACACATTTGTATGTTTTGAAGCACTGACTGAAAAAGCATTCTGACTGTAACAAACTCCTACCAATCCGCACCTCCCATTCACTAGAAATACTGGTATGAAAAGGTGGGTCCCTTATTCCACTCTAATCCCTTCATTTCTACCTAAAAGTCAAAGTATTAGGTAAAAAAGTACTTCCAGATAACTACTAATGACAAATAAGATCTACCATGGCAAGATAAGGAAAGATAATTCGATCATTGTTGGTGTTGTTTTAGAATTAAGATTTGTGTACGTATTAATCGCCATTTCTTACAAAAACCTGTGATAAACCTTCGTGGTTTCTTAATTTCACCTAATTGTTATAAGTATTACAGAGTCTGACAAAACGGTTTTTGTCAAAAGTCGTATAAGGCCTAACAGAGTAACACCATCTGACCATATTACGATATAGGGTCTGGGTGATTATACGTAATGTGATGCTGTCTACCTGTCGCATGGCTCCTTTCAGCAGTATTGGCTGACACGTTTGTTGATGAAATCACCTTGGGCTCTGTGTGTGAACTTGTCACGGAGGAATTCTTTTCGGACCAGTCTGAAATATTGTAGAATCACAATAATTGGTATGAAAACAGATATGGGGTATTCATTACACACAAAGACATATAAGCCTCAACTTAAACCTATATAAATCACCTTTCAAAACGTAGGATACCCTATAGAAAGAACACAAACATTAAACAGATGATAGTCAAATTGTGGCTGAAATACTGTTGACATGACTTTGAAATTTGACTCACACAATTGAGTCAAAGTATTACATAAGTTAATGTAATATTACAAAGTTTCATATTGACAACAGCAATAAGATTATAATTGTATGTCTAATCTAACATATGATTTGTGAGTGTCAACGCACTTGGATAGTATCTCTGGTTGAATACATTGAAGTCTTACCGGGACAAAGCTTCTGACAATCATCTCGTGTATGTGGATGGAGGCAGAGAGATTCACAACGTTCACATCTGTCCACGATGACATCGTAGTAATGTTGTGGAGGACACTGATGAACCATGGGCTTGTACCCTGAAATAAGATGGCATGAGTTATGTATAATCATTTAGGTGTGTATTTAGATTACGGGCTTGGTGACGTGGTTGAGGATTGTTGGACTGATCGTGAAACAAAAAGTTTGCAGACGAACTATTGAACTGAATATTTAAAAAAATCTATAATCCATTAATCATTAAAAAGACATATTGATCTTAAACATTAAATGGACATTATAGCCCTTTATTTCATTTTACATTTCCAAATACCCATACTATCAACCTGTCCTAGATTGAATCCTGTGTTTAAAAGTTTGATCAATATATACGAGTAAACGCTTTGTCTGTAGGTAGATTGTTCCTTTTGGCAACAACCGTTACCCCTTCTCGAATGTTCTTCCAAGAACGATAACGCTGACATTGTGTTAACACATCCGACCAACAGGTACACGATGAAAAACAACAGTAAGAATATTATTTTGTAACGAATACGTGTCCATATAATGCGAACTAGGGGGTAAAAATGTCCACGACGTTCCCTAATGTTCACTCTGACGGTGAATTGGATGCACAACCAGTGCCTATTAGAACGTTATGAAGGATTTGATCGTACATTGTAGTTATGTATTAACGACCAGTGGATATCTCAGGGTAATAGTAGAGCAGCTAATGAACACGACAATGAGGACTCACCTGGACACATGTCCTGGCATCTTTTCTGTGTTCTCTGTGCCTGTGTAAACTCACAGATATCACTGCAGGGATCACAATGTCCAGTGACAGGATCCAGGTAGCTTACACCTGGGTTACAGGTTGTGCTTGCGCCCAACAAAGACGGTAATGCGAGTCCCACAAACACCAAAACACATCCTTTCAGGGATGATGGATATGTGATAAACATGGTGGACAAAAGCCAAGTCCGTGGACTGTTTTCTTTCTTGTGTGGATTTTGCTGTTGAATATACCAGACCAAGGAGATGTGGACCACCGCGCTGGCTGCTTATACTGAGGCATGTTGTGTAGGTAAATTTCTTAAATACTGATGAAATCCTCTCGAACGTTCCAGGGACTTCGAAGGTTCGAAAACAAGTGACGTCACCGGATGTTGTGAAATATTCAAGTTATTTTTAGAAGGGAATTCCCCTTCACCGAACGTTCAAAACTCATTGACCTACATGATAATGCGTGTCGTGTACTGCAATGTATCTCAAGCGACTGTCAATCAAGGACGCTAGGCATACGTATGTTGACATCTCGTCTTTCGGAAATAAACACGTCTAGTCTAGAGTCTGGGTATGAGTCTTATAGTCACCAACCTAAAAATAACGTGACTCTAGCTATCAAACAGGTTTACGTCACAGCTATGTAAACATGAATATGCTCACTTGTTTGTTGAAAGTCATCGAGGTATTCAGGCTGTTGTATACAAAGCTGATTCGTGCTTAGTCATAGTCTATTGCCAATCCACAATAGATACACATAATAATAGCAATAAAATATAGTCAGTACATGTGTAATAATGCGGCACAAGGTTATGGGGTATTATCAAGGATATTTGTTTCAAGACGTATTCAATATTAAACCGGTTAAATCTGTTATCAATGATGAACTATATACTAGATTGTAATATCAAGAACTGGTATCTATGTGGCAGGGGTTTGTTTTTAAAGAATAGATTATCTATACATGTAGTTCAGTATATGTTCAAATACGTGTCACCAAGAGCTTTTGTAAATAACTGTTATGAACATATATGTAGAGTAACATTCACTGAATCAACTGTTTCTAATACTGTGATATGGAAACAAAATGTTTTGGTACGTACATCAATTACACAGGATTACTGAAAATTGCTGAATGAATAATGTTGTGATTAAGATCTCTTCACATGTATTCGTTACGAGAAAACAAACTTATTTCCTTTTGGATTCACAGAAATATTGTCATGTCGTTTCTAACATGTAACATATAACGTTGGCTACGTTCTACATTCAATGAATTAGTGAGTGAATATTGATTAACACCGCAGTTAGTAACAGCCTATATGTACATATGAGATGATCCTTACAATGGGATGTCACTGACCCACAATCAATAGCGTACATGGGTACTATTCTACCCCGGGTTCCCAGCGATCTGCAATCCTGTTATGCTTTACACCCCATTCCTCTAATTGTGAAAGAGGACGTTTATGACAAAATAGATCTCAGAGAAAAGGTTATAGGTACACAACATACGAACATTATGCATTTCCAAACTTGACGCATCAGTGACAAAATTAATGTCCGATGCAATTCCCCGTTTCCACTAGTGTTTTATTGGGAAAATTGACCAGGTAAATTTGTTGCTTCGTTAACATCATTTAGAAATTTTAGCATACAATTGACTAATGGTGTTTGTAACGTAGCCGCTGGTGGGACAGGATTCGCTCACCTTTTTGGGAACACCTGATATTACCACTATACATATTTCATAGTGAGTGAGTGAGTGAGATTTTACGCCGCTTTTAGTAATATTCCAGCAATAACACGGCGGGGGACACCAGAAATGGGCTTCATACATTGTACCCATGTCGGGAATCGAACCCGGGTCTTCGGCGTGACAAGCGAACGCTTTAACCACTAGGCTACCTGGCAGCCCCATATTTGATAGTCTGGACCAGACAATCCAGGGATTGATAGGATGCATCAACTAAGTTAGCGAGCCTGACCACCCGATCCCGTTAGTCGCCTCTTTCGACAAGCATGGCCTGCTAAAGACCTATTTACGAGTCGTTGAGTCAGTGTTGTTTACAGATGGTGTGTTGTCATGTACCACTGAGCTCAGTGATAATGCAATAAACAATTATATTTTATTGTTATGATACACATTCAATAATATTCAATTGAAAACTCGGCAGAAAATATCTTTATAAATAGCATAAACTGACACATGTGACAATGTGGTAACTATAATATTTGTTGGACATATGGATTAGTAAATAAGGTTTATGACACTTTATGAATTAAGAACAGGTAATATATTTAGGATTTATTGGTTTGGCATATATATGGCATTTATATTATGAGACATCTCACCGGGACATAATCTTCTACATTCAGTTCCTGTCCCCCTGACTGATGCCTGGTGGCACAGCTCTGCACAGTTTTCACAGCTGTCGGAATCTGTGTTGTAGAAGAAGTCTCGTGTGTACATGCACACTGGAACATTAAATGTTAATTCTAAATCTTGTTATTAAATCATGTATATCTTTTAATGTGAAGTTTACACGATATACGTTTTTTTAAGGGTTCAATTAAAAAAAGGACAAGATATGGATATATGTTCGTCAATATTTGAATTGTAAACAAGACGTTTATTTATCATCTTATTGTTTGTTTTTGAAAGTTTTGAAAGCTGATGTACAGGGATGTAGTCATCTTTAGTCACAGCGTACTATGTTTCAAGTGCTTCACACGGGTATATTCAAGAATACATGGTAATAGGCTGTATACGTTTTATTAGTGTGTCACAATACCTCATGATGTTCACTCATAAAATACATAACATTTATGACAATAAACAAAGGACATTTTGTATTTTCTTGTCTAATAACATGTTAATCTAAACTCTTGAGATGGCTGCGCAACTCAGGGAAATCTCAGCTTTCCCTGGTCACTCGATAAGTAAAACAAGTTACAAATTCCCCCTGTTTATTGTCACCTTTCTAAACATTTTGTATATTTCATATTCCTCCAATAAGCAGGTCACATTCATTAGTAACTCTCAGGGGGATGCGGTCGGGTAGCCTAGTGGTTAAAGCGTTCGCTCGTCACGCCGAAGACTCGGGTTCGATTCCCGACATGGGTACAATGTGTGAAGCCCATTTCTGGTGTCCACCGCCGTGATATTGTTGGGATATTGCTAAAAGCGGCGTAAAACCATACTCACTCACTCACTAGTAACTCTCAGGACAATACAAACTGTAGTGAATGAGTGAATGTCGGTTCACGCAACACTCTACAATACTCCATCTTCATCAGTGAACCAGGAAATAGTTCACTCTGGGCCAGGCATACGAGTTGATTGCAGGAACAACGATCCCCGTTGCCGATGAGGCAGAGAGAGCCTATAACCTTCAGAATTAGTCCACTCATTAAAACTGGCTCACAGTTACTGCATGAGCACAGCCTAGAGACTCATAGCTCCAAGAACAAGACAATTACATTGATGAGCAGAACTTGGCAGGGTTTGACGAAGAGTAACCGCTGTGATTGCGTATACGTAGCTGTTAAGTAATTTACTGAACTGAACTAACTGAGCTGAATTTACTTTTAAAGTCCTTCTATATACTAAAAGGGGATATAATATTTTATTGAGATTGACTTTCACTTTGTATGAGTTCACACATTGCATGAACGTCGTCGAAAGATCCGATCAACGTTTATACAGTTTGGCCCTCATTTTAAGGTTTACACTCCAGTGAGCTTCTTGTTGAAATAAAAAATAGCTATCGATCAGTCGACGACTCGTATCAGTGCGCGAGTGAATATAGAAGAGAGACCATTTCAGGTAACAAGGAGCACGTAAGACCAGCATTTGATGTAATTTTATATGCTTATTCGACAATCGATGTGAAAGTATGGCTTTTTCCTATACCAGGAAACATTCTATTATCTATGACCCTTGCCGAAAAGATAAATCTAAGCTTAAATCGGCACCACGGCAACGACAACAACGATAAACGCGATATATTATACACAGCTTTGGACATAGTGTACAAACATCTTAGTACAATGGGCAAGACTCGAGCTTCAGGAAACCTGAGGGTAGAACATACCTTCGAAACTGGTAATCACATCGTACGTCTGGGCACTATTTCTTGGCAACGCGATCATGAATTTCAGTACGAAGGTCGGCCATGATCACGTGGTTACTTCATTATGTAATTGTATGAATACAAAGAGCTATCCAGCCGATGCAGACACTGTCTGATGCATGCATGAATCGATCGACATCATTTCTACATCATTCACATGTTTCGCACAGGAAAATATTGTTTGAACCCATTTTACCCGACAGTTAACGTCTGAGATAAGTTAAATCAAAGCTCTCCAATATCAACTGATGTATTGCAGTGACATCAGTTCTCAGAATAGACTGTTAAACCCTAAGTATGGCATACCAATCAGTCGTGTGGTTATTTGTCACTGGCTTAAAAAGCTTGTCATGACGTTATCGAGTTGACAAAGACACCTAAAAGTCCCCAGCTCTCTACTGCTCTGTTATCTACAGGTCGTCATGATATTACATAAAACAAACGAATTGAATTGGTAACGGAGAACAAGAAATGTTACAATAAATGGATAGCATATTGCTACACACACGAGGATGCAAATATATACGTTCGGGTCACTGATTACAAATGATTACACATGTGTTCATACTGATACAAATTTAAGGCAACAAATCCATTTCCATAATCATAAGAAATTTCAATTGTACGATTCCGACTATGTCATAAACATGTGTTTTTGAATCAATATCAAATAGTGATGGTACATTTGTACCAGGTCATACCACGCAAATGTTCGTGATGTTCAAGTAATGGTGTTGAGACTAACAACTAACTGGACTATTCATAGACTCAGTGATGAATACTTTTCAAAATCTAATGTTAAGATTCCTGCCTGGTGCCATAAATAATATAATATGACGAGTTCTTTGAAAGTCATGATACCTTCATACAGTATTGTTTTAATCGTGTAACGAATCAGTGTGTGTTGTGCGCTTTCCATTATGCTACATTCATTTATTAATTGGTGTAGAACTAGTCTCCAGTGGAACTGCAGGGACGAAGACAATGTGTTCGACGGACTTCTACAGGGATGGAGAATCTGGGAAGTGCCAGCCTTGTAACGAGTTGTGCCATCAAGCCGAAGTTAGAGGAACTGTCGAGCTTTGCACCAGACTGTGTCCAGGTAAAAACTGAAAACATTTATTGCATATGTCATATTTCATTTATCATTGCACGTTAGTAATAAATTCATCCGAAATATATTTATCAATATAAATAGACAAACAATAAAACCTTTATTGCTGTGTCACAATAGGCAATGTTTTCTCTGGATTTTTGTCTCTTCATGTGATCCTGATCCGGAGATACAAACTGAATTATCAACTTACTGTCCATCTGTGTGCTTCATTACCTGTGTGCTATTTGTTATTCTTACTGTACATTTGGCTGCATCCAATTATGTGTATGCTACTTGTTATCTACTACCTGTTGTCAATGTTAATCTGCTGCTTATCACAACATATCATGCATATATACCTCTCATTATTTGGTTTTTGTCACTCCAGCGTGATAGCGGTGTAAGAATCTACACCCAAAGGTCGCTATTTGCAATACCCAGAAGTTGTTATCGGTACGTTTTCTTACTTACTCACCAACTTCTTGAAATATTTTAAGCAAACACTAAGTTTGAGGTATCAACAAAAATAATTGCTAGTGATCAGAGACAACGCCTCTGTCATTGAATAATGGAAAGCATCCAGTACCTTTGCATTGATTACACATTGAAGTAAGTAGACCTTTCCATGTTCCACGCAGGAGATTTGTCTTCGTATGTATTAAACAATATTGTGGCCACTTAGCCAGGAACATATCGAACCATACATGTATACAAATATCACGACGTTCAGCAGAAGTTGATTCTGATTGGCCTCTCTAAGGTACACTTTCGACAAATGATTTTCAAGAAGTGGGTGAAGTCAAAATGGTTATGTTTGTGCATTTTCATGATTCGGGAACAATGTGTAACTTATTATCCATTGATCCACACAGCGGCATCAACATGTATACTATTAGTTATGGCGTCTTTAGTTGCCGTATACGATGTCATATTTTCCTGGTAACCTAATATGACACCGTATACGGCAACTGAAGACACCATAACCAATAAATTATGCCGACAAGTTTACACTTTTTAATATCTTTGACGCATATGTCATGTCAAAATTAAAACTTGACACTAACAACGGTATAAACGACAGGACCAGTACATATGTTTCCGATACAACGCCCACAATAGAATCTATAATGCACAAAATGTGAACATTTAAAGTACTATAGCTAAAATGGATAGAATTATCATGAAAATGACCGCATGTTAACAGAAATCTGCGGGCCACTGTAACTTGATAGCTGTCCGTTTCTCCTAACGACGGGCTGCTATCTATTCTATTGCCCTGTGACGTCATTGGCGTCACGTTTCTTGTTTGTGACGTCATCCTACAGTATGAAGGATACTATGACGTTGCTATTTGTAACTCAGTGACCTCCATTGTAAGCTTTTTTTCTCTATAATTTTTATAAATAAAGTTACGAACGTGATTCCTTTTATAAATAATGTCTTTGCTCATCACAATTTATGATATTAAAACACAAACAGTGTCGAATAACGAATTTCTGTTCCAGAACTCCCATTTGAAATATGTGAGGTGGGTGTTGGAAAATCCAAAATGGTTGTTACTGACGGTATACGGGCTCATCTGGTGTCAGTAGTTCTACTCTCTGATTGGTCAATCTCACTTTGAGACATAATAATAGTTCCTGCGTAATATTATGTTGCGATCCGTTCTGATTATTTTTAGTTGTTGACAGCCATACTGATATTCTCCTTTGGCGTTTACTTTCGGTCAAGATGTCAAGGCGCCGGAATTCGCTGTAAATAGCCGTGGGCCTTAGATGTGCCGAAAATCTAGGAACATGGATTCGAATGCGCCCTAATTTTGAGTCTATGTTTGTCAGCACGATAATCATGCTCGTGGGTTTCACTGAATTGAGTCTTCCCTCACACATTAAGCTGTCGCGCCGTGACATAAATGAAATAAATTCCAAAATCGCGTTAACAAGCCTTACTCACTTACTTTCGTTTTCGCTCTATGCCTTTCAGATAGTAGCTCAATAAATGTCACATATTGTAGTGATAGTGTAGTCCTAATAAGTTACCATCAAAGTTGACGGCTGCATCAACCCGGAAGCTAACATGTGTAGAACAGTGCTGTTCTTCTTTTGCAGTCATTGTCTGTAGGCATTTTTAAATGGCCATACGTAAAGTTATTGGTTTTAAAATGAAATGTGGTGGTTGCTTCACTATTCAAAGGGACCCGTGAAGATCCGGGGGAAAATAGGTCTTCAGCAATCCATTCTTGCCGTAAAAGGTGACTATGCTTGTCGTAAGAGGCTACTACGAGCTACGGGATCGGGTGGTCAGGCTCGCTGACTTTGTTGATGCATGTCATATTAACCCAATTGCGTGGGTCGATGCTCAGGATGTCAATCACTGGCTTGTCTGGTCTAGATTCGATTATTTACAGACCGCCGTTAAAAGGCTGTTATATTGTTGAGTGCGGCGTTAAAGAAAAAACAAACACTATTCGAAAGATGTGTGGCAGTTTTGTACATTTTGTGCAGAAAACACGATAGAAACCTATAGCTACAAGAAGAATGTGTTTCAAGTTATTTTACAAAGAATGTATTTCAAGTTGTTTTCTTAAGGTGTGCCCATTTCATGTTATCTTACGTGCTTTCAATGCCTGTCATATGTTCGGGTGAAGTATTATGGTGTAAAAATCTGCTTGAGCATGACATTGTACAGCTGTATGTTTTGTTTGTTCAGGGCCGCACTCGAGTATTCCATTATTCAGATTGACAACCCACTCAAAACATTTGCTTTGTGCGGCTTCGTTCACTCAGTATATTTGCTGACACAGTGAATTCCTGTTCTATCTAGTCATGGTAGAACGAGGATAGATATATTGTGTTTCAATGTAGAGCAGCGTTTCCTGTAGATTTAACCGCGCTTTCGGTCCCAAATTCAATTTAACGCTGTAAAATACACAGGTAACCTTGCTCTTCATTGCTAACACAGTTTGTTTATCTCTTAGTTAACAATATCAACAGGTCTTTTTTATAACGTTGTCAATTGTCTCTTCTAAATGGGTACGTACGTGATGATAGAGGTGGAGGTCATCACACTGTTAGCGGATTGCTCCCACTTGATATTGTTTATTCTATTCTTTTAATAAATTCAAATGACATTATGTATTATATCTAGTATAAAGCCTGTGTGGAAAATGTGCGTTAAAAATGTCATTTCAAACGCCACGATCACTGAAAAATAATTGACAGTTTGTGTATGATAGTGTCTTCAGATAACTCTGTTCCGGAGGATTACGTTGTCACGGCAACAACCACCAGTGCAACTGAGACAGCAGTCATTGCACCGATCGATGGTGAGTGTTGTAATGTGATAGAATCTTTCCTCAGTACAGGGTTACTAATTCCAATGAGGAATCATCATAGATGTTGCTTTGAGTACCATCACTGATATACATGCATGTACATTCAACGAACCTTTTGAATCATTCTTTTTTGTCTCGCTGTTCTAGATGGGGACCTGATACCAGAGGGGGTGGTCATCACACTGGCAGTGGTCATCATCTTAGTGTCCCTGGCGGCCTTGGTCATCCTTCTGTTCTTTAAAAGAAGAGCTGAGTTGTGTTTGGGAACTGAGCATGACTCAAAACGGTCTCGAAAAGACACGAACCGTACCTGTAGGCTTAATGTATCTTCAATCAGTGCAGCACTTTAGACTTTGTGAAGCAACCTGACTCTGTTATCTTATTGTGTCGCATTAAGTGTTGTTAAGTTTATGTCTGTAGATTTATTCATGTGAAGATAGGTAGGTATTGCGGTACGTACAAATGTATTCAGTAGCCCTTGGGGCGACCATTGCATATTCGGGAGGGTAAGAGGGCGTGGATATGATATTGATAGAAACAGAATTTTCATTTTCAAACATATGGTCACTTGACACGTCTCAGTTTTGTAGGTTGTCAATAAAAAAGAAATGATAACATTTCTGTGCCATGTAACACACTTCATGACCCAACGGAGGAGATCATGGGTATATTTATTTAACTACAGTTCTAACCCTGTGCACTATCAGGTGATACGACCCTGTTATCTAAACGTTACGTGTCTGAAACCATTCGCCGAAGAACTGCAAGCTTAAGGCCCAACACTCCACCATAATGCCCGTTCCAAATACACCACCATCGAAAAAACAATTTCATTACGGTCTCCACAGAACATGAACTAAAACGTTGGCTAATATTGGCAACACCGAAGTCATAATCAAAGATTTATAACTCTTGTACTACTTTTGTCGTTCAGGAACACACTATTGAGTTTTATTTGTTCTGAATTTACTCGATTATTGGTTAACATGGATGCACAAAGATACGTTTATTATTAAAAACATAAAACACAAATTATACATAATCATGATGGCAAGATTACAATACAAACATCATCATAAGTTTTGTTTATGTTGTTTTTAATGAACTTACCATATTATGTTTTACGAATGTCGCAATATGTGTGTAGAATTGCCTTTAGTAGTTTTCATTCTCATAGTGTAGGACCATTGAGGACCGCGTTGACATGTGTTCTGTTATCTATTATCGATGGTTCATGTTACTGAAGAAAATAGTTGCATTTCACGTTTCACGGGTCGATGTTTCACTTTTAGTTCATGTGTGTGACCTAAGGTTTCTCATTTGTTCGGATGTTTCATGTTCACGCAAGGCAATGCAATAACGGATCCCTAAACTACGTATACTAGACGGGTCATTCTAGATGTGTAGATAACTTAACATGCTGTTGTATTAATTCTTGTCGTTATGTCACTCCCCAACAGACAATATATATGGTATCCATTGTTAACTATTTTATTTTAGGATATTGTTACCAAATTCCCAGCCAGAGACGATGGTCGAAATGACAACAACTTTTTAAAAGTAATTTTCGTCGGTTGAAAAACGGGCAAATGTGTTTAAAATGACAAGTCAAGGGATTATATACTTCGCGTCCTTTATTGTCCTATTTTGCATTTATTTTCAGAATTGAAATTAGTTAACAGAAATAAATAATAATTTTGTTTCACATTTGTGAAATGTTTGTCGGTGGAATCGGGAAGTACTAACTGAAAGTAACGCCTCATTAAGTCTTCATCCTACCAAGTCACACAAACTACACCATCTTGCGTTTATTTTGTTTTTAAAAGATCAGAAGTAGGTGTTTGCAAACCCGGTGCTATTGATGCACCCACCCAATGACATAAATTAGCTTTCACATCCAAGCAGACCGCCTCCATGGTCTGGAGAAGAGAGCGTCTACCCGGAGAGTGAAAGGTACCAAAAGCCCTCTCCCACCTCACCTTACACCCTTTCAGACTTGTTGCAAGTACAGACCTGACAGGCCTCGTGACGATGAATCATGTTACTGTATTACGCAAGATACATAGCAGGAGGGTCACTTGTCGAGGCAGCCTTCAATAGCCCAGTCAGTTTGACCTTATCAGTGTTTGTCAACATGGTATGGTGTATAGGTATGGCTGATTCATTTATTTGTGACGCAAGACGTAGGGGTTATATTCGCCGATTATTAAATACTTATTTTTTCTTACACCCTATCGTAATTACGCCAGGTTACTATACTCTTATCTAATATCTCCGCTTTCTGCAAAACCCTACAGTACATTGTAACCCAAATATCAGATTAAAGCGTTAACAAATGAGGTGTACCCCAGTTTTTTGTTCTTGTACATTCATTCACCCACAGTAATCATAAAACATGGATGGGTGATACAAGTGGATGAATATATTTGATTATTAAAACGATAATCCAGCATTACATTTGGTAATATTTAAAAAAAATAATAACAACCAAATTAAAACCTTGCTTTGAGACTTACGCAATTCTGCTTAAACATCACATTACGCCGACCTTTGAGCCAATTAATTATCTGTCCGACTCCAAGAAGACTATGCACATGTGTGGGATGCAAGTTGGTGGAGTAGGTGGAATTTTATTGCGCTTCGTTTGGGGTAGCAAATGCTATGATAGTTTAAACCAAGATACATCCCTGGGATTAACGGCTCATTGTTGGAAGATAACTCGAAGTGATGCATGTCATAGAGGATTAACACTTAGGTGAAGCCCACTACAAAGGCGAATCTTGGATTTGAACCCACGACAAAGGTTTATGTCTAGGGGACGAAACTGACAGCGATTTAAGAAATCTGAAACAGGTGGATCCTTGCACAACAGGGTGGCTGAAAGATTCTGAGCCTGACTACGAAGAATGCATGTACAAACACATTTACATGTATTAAGCACACTACTTTCCATGCTTACAGGCTGAATTTGAACCTACTACACAACCAGGCAGCCTATGTTTGCAGAAGTATTCTCTGTTGGTGATAATGTTGAAATTCGCTACCGCGCTGCCATCAGGCATTTCCTGACGAACGGGCCTCCAAAGAAGGCAAAGTATGTCTCATCAGTTGTGGCATTTAGGCACGACAACATCGTTTGGAGAAGAGCATGGACCTCGGACGGGCTTATGATGAACTATAATATGGCAACCAACTCTATCTATGAAGTCCTTTATTGACTCTGCCTTAACAGAAACGAAAAGGTTGTTAAATCGTAAAATGAACGTACAGTTATTTAATATCATTGTGTTTTAACACATTGCCAAATGACAGTTACCCGTAATTTTACTGGACCGCCATGACCCGCAGAATTAATGTTCACGGATGGAGGTAATAAGCTCGGTCACAAGCAACAAGCAATGTAGAGCACGATCGCCATGTTACTTATCCCTCTGACCTACGAATGAGTGAGATTGTTGTAACCCGGCTTTGAACAATATTTTAGATATATCACGGCGTGTATTGTTCTCGCTCTCTGAAAATTAGGTTTATTGACTAATTAGACTTAAGGAAGTGGGTTTTGTGATTCCCTATTGTGTCCATTGCGCTTGTCACAGAGCTCTGCTCCAATGATCAGGGGTGTCATTAAACAAAAATAAAGTAATGATGAAAACGTGGTAATAGGTTCACAGGTCCATTATTAACAGCTAACTGTACCAACAGATTACATGAAAAAGGATCAAATAAACCCAACCTGCGATGGCAAAGATCACTGAATAATTACTTCAGAGCAAATATACAAGTAGCTCAGCTAAGCAACTGTATTACAGCAATAAAATGAGAGTAGATAAAACAACACTTTGACAAGATACCGACCAGTTACGAATACTTTTGAATACTAGTCTAAACGACTAAAGATTCAGTGACTGTGACTGAGCAAGGAAATACAAAATTCCCCCAAAACGTTAACGCTAGACAATCACGGAAACATTATTGGAAATCCTAGCTACTAAGTTTAGCTCAATACACCCAGCGTAAGGCAGTACAAGATCCAAAGTACCCTTTAATCACATACTAGCTAACCTCAGAGAGGGCGATCTCTCCAAGACACTCCGGGAATACGATAGTCTGAGGCGCTAAGCCAACCCGTGTTTCTAAACATGGGGAAACACTTACTGCTATATCCATACTGAAGATGTGAGTATCAAAATAGAGCGCTGAACATAAGCTATCCAACGTGTTATTAAAGAATTACAACAAGCTACGTACAATTATTGTGGAGGCAAATAATAACCATAAGTGCATGAGAAATATCTGAGTGAACGTATAAATTCCCCTTATGTTTGAAAATCATAGTCACCAAAACATTTTCAACACATGAAAAAGGCAGCGAACATAATAAAGATAACAAACACCATGTCACTACACAGTATGAGTGGGCCATTAAATCACACGAGAATGAAATAGTCGGATCACTTATTCTCGAACACCGAATGCAATGACACTGCACAACGACCATCGCCGGACTTTGCCGAGCGGTGTCGGAAATAAAGCGAGGGCCCGGAGAGGTCACTAGATCCTACCCAGTTTATTTTGCTTCCTTCCTGTTAGGTTGTGTAAAGGTTGTTGTAATGTCTTTGCAGAGTACTAGCCTGACACTTGGAGCACATAATACCATTCATCTTGCTGGCGGCGCCTTCTCACTGACTTCTAGATGGTACGGGGGCGGTCGGGTAGCCTACTGGTTAAAGCGTTCATTCGTCACGCCGAAGACCCGGATTCGATTCCCGACAAGGGTACAATGTGTGAAGCCCATTTCTGGGGTCCCCCCGCCGTGATATTGCTGGGATATTGCTAAAAGCGGCGTAAAACCAAACTCACTCACTCACTCACTCTAAATGATACTCGAGGCAACAGGGCGTCTATTTGTACATATCTCGTTTAGTTGACCAACTTTTAATCAAGTCTGAATCCCAGTGGACGAAATAGGAACAGTAAATGTGATGATCTATCATAACATAATCAAACGTACACACCATCTTCGTGTAATAATCCACTGCCGTGACAAATCAAGATGAACATCTCTGCTGGGCTTGAATACGTTTGTGATTAGTGCTGGAAACAGAACAAAATGGAATCAACGTCCTGTTTACAAAATTTACAAAATTCAACATGATTCAATTCCATGAGTATATACTGAAGAAGAAAATCTTTCCTTTGCTCAACTTCCTAGTTTTTAGTTTGCAAATGAATAAATGGTATGCCTACAAATATGACATATAATTTAACTCATTTTGACTTCATTTAACTAATTCATAGCGTTATCAAAGTGTGTGTATCTAATATTCCACTGAAGAGAATGTATCAAGCATCATTTATTCACAATTTACTTCTCACATGTTTGAAAACGAAGAATGCCTCACTCGCGCCATGAACATGCTTTCAGGTATGGCGTATTATTGGTGGTAGTAGTAGTAGAAGTAGTAGTAATGATAGTAGAAGTAGTAGTAGTAGTAGTAGAAGTAGTAGTAGTAGTAGAAGAAACAGTAGTAGTAGTGGTAGTAGTAGTATTAGAAGTTGTAGTAGTAGCAGTAGTTGTAGAAGTAGTAGTAGTGGAAGTAGTAGTAGTAATTGTAGTAGTAGAAGTAGTAGTAGTAGTAGTAGTAGGAGTAGTAGTAGAAGTAGTAGTAGTAGTAGTACCAGTTGAAGTAGAAGTAGTAGTAGTGATAGTAGTACTAGTAGAAGTAGTAGTAGTAGTAGTAGTAGTAGTAGAAGAAGTAGTAGTAGAAGTAGTAGTAGTAATCGAAGCAGTAGTAGTAGTAGTAGTAGTGGAAGAAGTGGTAGTAGTAGAAGTAGTAGTAATAATAGTAGAAGTAGTAGTAGTAGTAGTAGAAGTAGTAGTAGTAGTAGAAGAAACATTAGTAGTAGTGGTAGTAGTAGTATTAGAAGTTGTAGTAGTAGCAGTAGTTGTAGAAGTAGTAGTAGTAGTAGTGGAAGTGGTAGTAGTAGTTGTAGTAGTAGAAGTAGTAGTAGTAGTAGTAGTAGTAGGAGTAGTAGTAGAAGTAGTAGTAGTAGTAGTACCAGTTGAAGTAGAAGTAGTAGTAGTGATAGTAGTACTAGTAGAAGTAGTAGTAGTAGTAGTAGTAGAAGTAGTAGTAGAAGTAGTAGTAGTAATCGAAGCAGTAGTAGTAGTAGCAGTAGAGTGAGTGAGTGAGTTTATGCTTTACGTCACATCGGCAATAGTTCAGCCATATCGTGATGAAGTAGTAGAAGTGAGTGAGTGAGCGAATTTAGTTTTACGCCGCTTTTAGCAATATTTCAGCAGGGGGACACCTGAAATGGACTTCACACATTGTACCCATGTCAGGAATCGAACCCGGGTCCTTGGCGTGACGAGCAAACGCCTTACCCACCAGGCTACCCGACCGCCCCTAGTAGTAGTAGTAGTGGTAGTAGTAGTGGTAGTAGTAGTAGCAGTAGTAGTAGTAGTAGTAGTGGTGGTGGTGGTAGAGTGAGTGAATGAGTAAGTATGGTTTTACGCCGCTTTTAGCAATATTCCAGCAATATCACGGCGGGGGGACCCCAGAAATGGGCTTCACACATTGTACCCATGTCGGGAATCGAACCCGGGTCTTCGGCGTGACGAGCGAACGCTTTAACCACTAGGCTACCCGACCGCCCTGGTGGTGGTAGAAGTAGTAGTGGTGGTGGTCGTAGCAGTAGCGGCCTAATTGCGAGGGCCTAATTGCAAACCGCTTTGAACATATACAAGTTGTTATTCCTATGTATACATGCTAGCTGGTGTACCGAAAGGTTTTCATAAATGGTGTTGCTAAAATCCTCACCTTTTAACTCTGTGACCCCAATTGCGAAAGACATACCTTCTCACGAGGCATTATGTATTATGTAATAAGGATTATGACCCTTATGTGATTGGAATTCTATTTTTTGCGGGTCATGTTTGCTGTGTTGTGTTGTGTTGTGTTGTGTTGTGACTGTGAATGTCGCAATGAATCTGAATGTGGATTACACCATATATCTGCACGTTAGATCGTAGACCAAGGCATTTCTTGGCACACGGGATTCTCAACCATGGGTAAATTGAACCTTTTTGCAATAACTTTAAATAATCCCCAAGGAGTGTATTACCCGGGGCAGTTCCTTGAGGGTCATGTAACAGTGGAACTGAAAGAGAGAATGAAGATGAGAGGTAAGTACTGGATAAGACCTATCATACATCTAGACAGTTGTAAGAATATTATTAAACTATTAGACAGTATGTGACCACATGAACATTTCAGTGTCAAATATGAAATTTTGATATAGTTGAGCTGTGCTCCAATGATCAGGGGTCTAAAAA